GTTCCGGCCAGGCGATTCATTCCGTGGAACCAATCGGCGGGATATTTAGCCGCCGATCCGTTCCGAATCTCATCGGAGAGCGTGCGTGCTCACGTATTATTGAATACACGCCATGGTACACCCCTAAAGCAAAATGAACTATTCTGGTCGGCCTTTGCAACCAATCAAACTTCTCCAAATTAGCTACACCAACGATTGCCAATTTGAGAACTTTGTATAGAAATGCAGATTCCCGTTGTTCAAATATGTTGATAATTGCGGCCAATGATTAACCACAAACAGTAACTATAGACAGCGCCGTCGCGAAGCGACGGGGACTGGGTCGGGTTTAGCAAAAAGGGCAGTTGTTGCCATATAGGCTTAGTTTGCCTGTAAAAGCAGATGTCGGGGTGTTTTCTAATCAGGCCTTCTAATTTGGCTTGAATGCTGCTCTATATGATATCGTGTTACGTCAACCACCTATTACCGGGCTTCATCACAGAATCTAATTATGCATGTGGGCTGCATGAATGATGTACATGTAGTTTAAATGAAAGAGATGCGGGGTGGGGTGGGGGGGGGGGGGGGCCGGGGTCAACACAAAAAGAAATGAGTGGTCGAGCTGATAATTAAGAAGGACCAATAAAATTTTTAAAAAAGAAGAAAAGAAGAGAAAGAAAATTCCTCAAGTAAAAGACGTGTCCGGCAGAATAAAAAAAAAAGAAATAAAAGAAAAACCCGACATATTTTGTTGAATTTTCAACCCTTGGTACTAGCCGACAAAAGTTAGTGTTAAACAGAGCCATATAGCATAGTGTGTCTATACCCCCCCCCCCCCCCCCCCCCCCCCATTCCGCTACATACAGTGGCAGATCTGTTGCGCCCCCTTGTTTGGAAACCACTAATTTCACGTACATTTTCACGTACATGTAGGCCTAATATCAGAAAACTATCGCCTGCCCCCCCCCCCCCCCCGAGCCGAGTATGCACGTGCGTGCATGCATATGATATACATGTACTCTATGCGCATATACTAGTCAGTAGGTTATTTATTTATTTATTTTTCGTACCGCGCGCGGGTAATTCCGTACGAGGTTATAAACCTTATTATTAAGTAATATTTCAAAAAAAATAATATTGGTTTTCATTCCAACAATAAATACAAAAGTATCAAGATAAAGCTAAAATTTATTTTTACCATGTTTATTCGACACAAGTAATAAAAATATACGCGATTATATAAGCAGAAACGTTCGGCCAATGTCGGATAAGAACGGCGGCTTTCGAACGTACCTGCGAACGAGTCGATCCAGTAGATTCGTTCCGAGGAACAAATCGGCGCGCCGATTTGTTCCGCGGAACCCGGAACAAATCGCCTACCACACCGGCCGACCCTACCCCAATAATATAAGAGGCTAACGAACGAAAGAGACGGAAAATTCGGTCTTGTCTAAGACCAGTATTCGATGGTCGCAGTCGTTGGCTTCTTTTTTAAATGGGCATTATTATTGTCGACAGAAAAGGTACACCCATCAGTAATGAAAGGGGGGTAGGTCCCTTATGAGAAAAGAAAATAAGCACATAATCATTAATTGTTAAAAGGGAAATTATCACAGGTGAAAAGGGGCACTTATCGCACCTGCAAAGATCGAGGCACTATGACCAGATATGAAATGGGGCACTTATGAGAATGAAAAAAGGGGCACCTATAAAGTAAATTGTGTATTTGTTGATTTTAATAGGGGTTTTTATCGGAGGTGAAAGGGGGCCTTTATAATTAGAAAAAGAGGCATGTTAAAATGAACAGAGCATGCATGGGTATCAGAGATGAAAAGGGGTAATTAAAGGGAATTTGTAACATTGTTCAGATGAGTGCTAAGGTAGTGACTTCAATGCTAGATGTACAATTAAAGATAATCTGAAAATTTGAGTGAAAAACGTATTATTCATGGTACAAATTGGGAAAAACTGATCTGATCGAAATTCTCCTAACTATATTATTCTACTATTCTGCTACTTGTCAAAGCCTGTTCAGCATCAAGACAAGGACATTTTACTTTAGGTGAATGTAATTAAATCGTCACATAGCAATAAAATGGCTCTACATTCCATTCCAGACAATTACGTGTTGACAGATTTTTATATAGCCTGTTTTATGTATTTTTCTCATGGAAAAACGGTTGGGAAAATTCACTGGTTGGGAGAATTTACTGTTAATCACTGTTAGAGGGTGCCTCACATCGACGCCTTCAAAGAAAACCATAGATATCTTGGTTTGAGAATTTAATTGCGATCATGTTTTATGTAACCGTGTAAATTACATGCATGTATTCATTTTGGTGATAATATCTAGTGTTTAAAAAATATATGCCCTACGTGTGGGCAGGCGCGTACGCAGGGGGGGGGGGGGGGGTTGGGTTAACCCCCCCTTTAAACCATTGATTAATTAAAAAAAAAAAAAATTGCAATGGATGACCTAAAAAAAGAAGACCTTACCACACCCCTCTCCCCCCCCCCCCCCCCCAACGAAACGGAATGTCAATCGGTCAAATTTCGGGACCAAAAATAAATTAAAATGTCCTCTTACCCCCGGCGTCTGTCTGGCCATGCTGTTGGCCCAGGCAGCGTTGAAAGGTTTATATGCACTGCGTCATCGTTACACTGATGAGGAAGTACAACCAGATGACGTTTTTTATCACAGCCATCAAGTATTGGAAGTTGAAGTGGAGAACCAAAGCTGACCTCTAATATACCAAGCTTGATCGATGCTTTAAAAAAAGTAAAGTTCTCTTTCTCTCTCTCTCTCTTCTTTATTCATATCGCTCCCTCTATTGCTCCCTCGATCCTCTCTTCCCGTCTCTCTCGCTAACCCACCCCTCTCGATCTCTCTCACTCTTGTCTCTGTCTCTTCCTAACCCACCCCTCTCACACGCTCCATCTCTTAACCCACTCCTTTCTCTCCCTCTCTCCCCAACACACCTCTCTCATGCTCTCTCTCTCGTTCTCTCTCTCTCTCTCTCTCTGTACCCCAGCCATCTCTTAATTCACCCCAACCCCACCCCACCCATCCCGACCCCCTCTCTCTAACTTCTCCCCAACTTACATTTAACTCGGATTTCGACCACCGAACTTGATTTAAAGAATCTTTACAAACATTTTTTGTTTTGTACAAAAGTACAAGAATAAAGGATATTTATTTAAAAAAAAGAAAATGAGCTGTAAAATCCAATATTACGAAGCTGAAAGATGCATTTCTAAAGGTTTTAAGGAATCAAAATTCAATAGAAAATAAACACTGACTAGCAATACGAATAATACATGTAAACAGGATTAACAATCACCAAAGACATGGTTTGCTCTTGACGCAAGGGGTTCCATGTGGCTATACTCTATTCAAATATGAGCTTCGATCATATATTATTTATACAAAGATATATTGCAACATAAATGAATTCTCAGTGTACAGTAAAATGTCTTGTTGAAGAGACTATAAGGTAATGTATCCCTTTTACAGCCAACATCAAATTCTGTAGATAATATATCACCTTTTTCCTATCTGTAAAATTTGAACATTAGCAGTGTCCTAGTATTCAAATTATGCAAGGAAACCTGTTTACGTACTAGACCGGGTCTATTTGATTGATACAATACCTGTAATTGCAAAATCAGTGTTGTACTCTCAATCAAAACAATAGACATTGCCAACATTATTAAACCATATTGGCTACTGAAGTTTAAACCAGATGCTATAGGCTTAAACTGTGTTAAAGCTTGAGTTTAACAGAGAAAATTAAAGTTATTCTGAGGTCTAAGTTTGCCTTTGTTACACATACATGATATTGGACCTAGAATTAGTAGAATTTTTGCTTTTTAACAAGTTTGCCGTCCGAGCTTATTACCATCCACCTAATACTCTTTACTCTGTTAAATGGGTACCCGGTAGGATGCGAATGTTCATGTGGTTGGACGAGCAAGTGTGCGCCTGTAAAATGGCGGCTGGCTGGAATGCTCCCCAGGGAGTGGAAAATGTGCACACATTGTGTGCGGGTAAGCCTGAATCCGATGACCGGGGTAATAATATATCTGTAAAGTGTGTAGGCACATCGTTGGATCGGTGTATTGAGCGCTACATAAAAAACGGATTATTATTATTATTAGGATATGCAGCGTTAAAACATTCAGAAGACTTTTGTCTATAACATGGCTTCTCTATAAACTGAGAGGGTGGTTAAAATAAAATTCTTCCTTCTCAATATGAACAGTAATAATGTTCCCTAGAAAATCCTTTCTTACAGAGGAGACAAAGAAATGGCTTTTCATCTGTATGCATTTGGAGATATTTAACAATACTTTTTTAAGAAAACCATTTACTACAATGTGAACATATGGCTTTTCGGCTATGTGTGTTTTAGTTGTGAACATTCAATTGGCTTTTCTCCTGTATGTGTTAAACGACAGTACAGAACATTTTTTTAACAGAACATCACAATAGCAACACTCTTATGGCTTTTCTCCCGTGTGTTAGTATATGGCGATTGAGTGCACTTTTCTGAGAAAATCCTTTCTTACAATAGCAACATTTATAAGGCTTTTTTCCTGTGTGTGTTTGTAGGTGTTGGGTGTGAGATAGCATTTGTTAGAAAAACTTTTCTTACATATATATTTAACAATACTTTTTTAAGAAAACCATTTACTACAATGTGAACATATGGCTTTTCGGCTATGTGTGTTTTAGTTGTGAACACTCTTATGGCTTTTCTCCCGTTTGTTAGTATATGACAGTTAAGAGTACTTTTCTGAGAAAATCCTTTCTTACAAGAGCAACATTCATATGGCTTTTCTCCTGTATGTGTTAGGAGGTGTTGGGTTAGATTGCCTTTGTGCGAAAAACTTTTCTGACAGTGTGAACATTCATACAGCTTTTCTCTTGTGTGTGTTCGGAGATGACGCTTAAGAGTACTTTTCTTAGAAAATCCTTTCTTACAATAGCAACATTCATATGGCTTTTCTCCCGTGTGTAATAGGAGGTGTTGGGTGAGAATGCCTTTGTGCGAAAAACTTTTCTTACAGTGTGAATATTCATACGGCTTTTCTCTTGTGTTTGTTCGGAGATGACGGTTAAATATACTTTTCTGAGAAAATCATTTCTTACATCGTGAGCATTTATATGGCTTTTCTCCTCTGTGTGTTGCTAGGTGTTGGTAAGATTGCATTTTTCAAATAAAAACACTTTCCTGACAGTGACAAATTCCTATGGCGTTTCTCTTGTGTATGTTAGTATATGACGATTGAGTAGGCTTTTCTGAGAAAATCCTTTCTCACAATTGCAACATTCCTATGGCTTTCTCTTGTGTGTGTTAGTATATGACGATTGAGTATACTTTTCTGAGAAAATCTTTTCTTACAATAGCAACATTCCTATGGCTTTTCTCTTGTGTGTGTTAGTATATGACAATTGAGTTCACTTTTCTGAAAAAATCCTTTCTTAAAAAAGCAACATTCATATGGCTTTTCTCCTCTGTGTGTTAGTATATGATGATTGAGTAGACTTTTCTGAGAAAATCCTTTCTTACAATTAAAACAACATTCATATGGCTTTTCTCCTCTGTGTGTTAGTATATGATGATTGAGTAGACTTTTCTGAGAAAATCCTTTCTTACAATTAAAACAACATTGATATGGCTTTTCTCTTGTGTGTGGTAGTATATGATGATTGAGTAGACTTTTCTGAGAAAATCCTTTCTTACAATTAAAACAACATTCATATGGCTTTTCTCCTCTGTGTGTTAGTATATGATGATTGAGTAGACTTTTCTGAGAAAATCCTTTCTTACAATTAAAACAACATTGATATGGCTTTTCTCTTGTGTGTGGTAGTATATGATGATTGAGTAGACTTTTCTGAGAAAATCCTTTCTTAAAATTAAAACAACATTCATATGGCTTTTCTCTCGTGTGTGGTAGTATATGATGATTGGGTAGACTTTTCTGAGAAAACCCTTTCTTGCAGTGTGAAAATTCAAACAGCTTTTCTCTTGTATGTGTTTGGATATGACAATTAAGAGTGCTTTTCTAAGAAAATCCTTTCTTACACTAGCAACATTCATGTGGCTCTTCTCATGTGTGTGTTAGGAAGTGCTGGGTGAGATTGCTTTTCTTAGAAAACCCTTTCTTACAGTGTGAACATTCATATGGCTTTTCTCCTGTATGTGTTCGGAGGTGTTGGGTTAGATTGCATTTGTCAGAAAAACTTTTCTCACAGTGTGAACACACATACGGCTTTTCTCCTGTATGTGTTCGGAGATGACGGTTAAGAGTACTTTTCAAAGCAAATCCTTTCTTACAGTGTGAACATTCATATGGCTCTTCTCCTGTATGTGTTCGGAGATGACGTTTAAGAGTACTTTTCTGAGAAAATCCTTTCTTACAGTAGCAACATTCATATGGCTTTTCTCCGGTATGTGTTAGGAGGTGTTGGGTTAGATTGCCTTTGTCAGAAAAACTTTTCTCACAGTGTGAACATCCATATGGCTTTTCTCCTGTATGTCTTACGAGGTGTTGGCTGAGATTGCTTTTGGTAGAAAACGCTTTCTTACACTGTGAACATACATACAGCTTTTCTCCTTTATGTGTTAGGAGGTGTTGGGTTAGATTGCCTTTGTCAGAAAAAATTTTCTCACAGTGTGAACATCCATATTCTCCTGTATGTGTAAGGAGGTGTTGGCTGAGATTGCTTTTTTTAGAAAACGCTTTCTTACAATAGCAACATTCATACGGCTTTTCTCCTGTATGTGTTCGGAGATGACGGTTAAGAATACTTTTCTGAGAAAATCCTTTCTTACAATAGCAACATTCATATGGCTTTTCTCCTGTGTGTGTTCGGAGATGATGGTTAAGAATACTTTTCTGAGAAAATGCTTTCTTACAATAGCAACATTCATATGGCTTTTCTCCTGTATGTGTTCGGAGGTGTTGGGTTAGATTGCCTTTGTCAGAAAAACTTTTCTCACAGTGTGAACACACATACGGCTTTTCTCCTGTATGTATTAGGAGGTGTTGGGTTAGATTGCATTTGTTAGAAAACCCTTTCTTACAATAGCAACATTCATGTGGCTTTTCTCCGGTATGTGTTCGGAGATGACGGTTAAGAGTACTTTTCTTAGAAAATCCTTTCTCACAGTGTGAACATTCATATGTCTTTTCTCCGGCGTGTGATTTCAAGTGGAGAAGGGGATGAATGGCCCGACATGATCTCTCACTGCAACATGGACATAGATGTAGCTCCTGAATTTCTCCAGAATGTATCCTCACATAAATGTCGGGTTGATCTGTTGTGGAAAACACCTTGCCGCAATGTGAACAAAGATGAGATTTACCTCCACTGTTGATTGACATTCCACGTTCTACCTTGTCTTGTCTGTTGTCAACAACATCACCTGGTGGAGAAAAAGAGAACATTCATGTCATCGACACCTCAGATACGGTGTAAGAAAGTACATAAGTGATCTATCACTTCAAATTGCGTCAGAATTTGTTGGATTGTGTTCCAAGAAAATATGAATATGAATATGCCAAAATATAATTAATTTTTTATTCACCAATTCACATTTTTAAATATAGAATATTCTTCATATTTTGAGTTAAAAGTAAAAGAAAGGTTTATATAACCAAATGTACAGGGTTTCTTTCTTTTTGGAGGGGGGGGGGGTGGAGGGTAAAAGCGAAGTGTAATTGTAGGTCCTTGGTGAGATTGCTTTTCTCTTAAAATCATTTCTTACATCGTGAGCATTTATATGGCTTTTCTCCTCCGTGTGTTGCTAGGTGTTGGTAAGATTGCATTTTTCAAATAAAAACACTTCCCTGACAGTGAGAAAATTCTTATGGCTTTTCTCTTGTGTGTGTTAGGAGATACTATATAGAGGACTTTTCTGAGAAAATCCTCTCTTACAATAGCAACATTCAAATACGGTAGCTTTTTTCTAGCTGTGTGTGTTTGTAGGTGTTGGCTGAGATTGCTTTTGTCAGAAAAACTTTTCTTACAATGTGAACAGCCATATGGCTTTTCTCCCGTGTGTCTTAGGTGTTGGATGAGATTTTTTTTTCTCTGAGAAAACTCTTTCTCGCAGAGTGAGCATTCATAAAGTTTTTCGCTTGTGTGTTTTTAAGAGATGATTGTTTAGATGACTGTTCCAAGAAAATCCTCTCTTACAATAGCAACATTCTTTCATGGCTTTCCTCTTGTGTGTGTTTGTAGATGACGATCGAGTTCACTTTTCTGAGAAAATTCTTTCTTACAATAGCAACATTCATATGGCTTCTCTCCTCTGTGTGTTAGTGTATTACGATTGAGTAGACTTTTCTGAGAAAATTCTTTCTTACAATGGCAACATTCATATGGCTTCTCTCCTCTGTGTGTTAGCTCACTCAATCCTCATCCACTAACTTAGTGTATGACGATTGAGTGAGCTTTTCTGAGAAAATCCTTTCTCACAATTTTGTCTCTTGTAGTATATGACGATTGAGTAGACTTTTTTGAGAAAACCCTTTCTTGCAGTGTGAACATTTGTGTGGCTTTTCACTTGTGTGTTTTCATAGATGACGGTTACCGGTATTCTGAGAAAATCCTTTCTTACAATAGCAACATCCATATGTCGTTTCTCCTGTGTGTGTTTGTAGGTGTTGGGTTAGATTGCATTTGTTAGAAAAACCCTTTATTACAGTGTGAAAATTCAAACAGCTTTTCTCTTGTATGTGTTTGGATATGACAATTAAGAGTAATTTTCTGAGAAAATCCTTTCTTACAATAGCAACATTCATATGGCTTTTCTCATGTGTGTGTTCGGAAGTGCTGGGTAAGATTGCTTTTCCGAGAAAACCCTTTCTTACAGTGTGAACATTCATATGGCTTTTCTCCTGTGTGTGTTCGGAGATGACAGTTAAGAGTTCTTTTCAGAGCAAACCCTTTCTTACAGTGTGAACATTCATATGGCTTTTCTCCTGTGTGTGTTTGTAGGTGTTTGGTTAGATTGCCTTTGTCAGAAAAACTTTTCTCACAGTGTGAACATACATACGGCTTTTCTCCTGTATGTGTTCGGAGATGACGGTTAAGAGTACTTTTCAGAGCAAATCCTTTCTCACAGTGTGAACATTCATATGGCTCTTCTCCTGTATGTGTTCGTAGATGACGCTTAAGAGTACTTTTCTGAGAAAATCCTTTCTTACAATAGCAACATCCATATTGCTTTTCTCTTGTAGGTCTTAGGAGGTGTTGGCTGAGATTGCCTTTTATAGAAAACCGTTTCTTACAGTGTGAACATTCATATGGCTTTTCTCCTGTATGTGTTCGGAGATGACGGTTAAGAGTACTTTTCTGAGAAAATCCTTTCTCACAATAGCAACATTCATATGGCTTTTCTCCTGTATGTGTAAGGAGGTGTTGGCTGAGATGGCTTTTGTTAGAAAACCCTTTCTTACAATAGCAACATTCATATGGCTTTTCTCCTGTATGTGTTCGTAGATGACGCTTAAGAATACTTTTCTGAGAAAATCCTTTCTTACAATAGCAACATTCATATGGCTTTTCTCCTGTATGTGTTCGGAGGTGTTGGGTTAGATTGCCTTTGTCAGAAAAACTTTTCTCACAGTGTGAACATTCATACAGCTTTTCTCTTGTATGTGTTCGGAGATGACGGTTAAGAGTATTTTTCCTAGAAAATCCTTTCTTACAATAGCAACATTCATATGGCTTTTCTCCTGTATGCGTTAGAAGGTGTTTTGTTAGATTGCCTTTGTCAGAAAAACTTTTCTCACAGTGTGAACATTCATACGGCTTTTCTCTTGTATGTGTTCGGAGATGAAGCTTAAGAGTACTTTTCCTAGAAAATCCTTTCTTACAATAGCAACATTCATATGGCTTTTCTCCTGTATGTGTTCGTAGATGACGGTTAAGAATACTTTTCAGAGCAAATCCTTTCTTACAATAGCAACATTCATATGGCTTTTCTCCTGTATGTGTTCGTAGATGATGCTTAAAAAATACTTTTCAGAGCAAATCCTTTCTTACAATAGCAACATTCATATGGCTTTTCTCCTGTATGTGTTCGTAGATGACGATTAAGAATACTTTTCTGAGAAAATCCTTTCTTACAATAGCAACATTCATATGGCTTTTCTCCTGTATGTGTTCGGAGATGACGTTTAAGAGTACTTTTCAGAGCAAATCCTTTCTTACAATAGCAACATTCATATGGCTTTTCTCCTGTATGTATTAGGAGGTGTTGGGTTAGATTGCTTTTGTTAGAAAAACCTTTCTCACAGTGTGAACATTCATACGGCTTTTCTCTTGTATGTGTTCGGAGATGAAACTTAAGAGTACTTTTCAGAGCAAATCCTTTCTTACAATAGCAACATTCATATGGCTTTTCTCCTGTATGTGTTAGGAGATGTTGGGTTAGATTTCCTTTGTCAGAAAAACTTTTCTCACAGTGTGAACATCCATATGGCTTTTCTCCTGTATGTGTAAGGAGGTGTTGGCTGAGATGGCTTTTGTTAGAAAAACTTTTCTCACAGTGTGAACATTCATATGGTTTTTCTCCTGTATGTGTTCGTAGATGACGGTTAAGAGTACTTTTCTGAGAAAATCCTTTCTTACAATAGCAACATTCATACGGCTTATCTCCTGTGTGTGTTCGGAGATGATGGTTAGAATACTTTTGAGAGCAAATCCTTTCTTACAATAACAACATTCATATGGCTTTTCTCCTGTACATGTATGTGTTAGGAGGTGTTGGGTTAGATTGCCTTTGATAGAAAACCGTTTCTTACAGTGTGAACATTCATATGTCTTTTCTCCGGCGTGTGATTTCAAGTGGAGAAGGGGATGAATGGCCTGACATGATCTCTCACTGCAACATGGACATTGATGTAGCTCCTGAATTTCTCCAGAATGTGTCCTCAGATGAATGTCGGGTTGATCTGTTGTGGAAAACACCTTGCCGCAATCTGAACAAAGATGAGATTTACCTCCACTGTTGATTGACATTCCACGTATTACCTTGTCTTGTCCCTTGTCGACAACATCACCTGGTGGAGAAAAAGAGAACATTCATGTCATCGACACCTCAGATACGGTGTAAGAAAGTACATGAGTGATCTAAGCGTAGCATCCCCTCACAGGGTACAAATGGCCTATACCGTAAATCTCCGTGTATAAGGCCCACTTTTTTGCCGCCGAAAAAAATTGAAAGTCGGGGGTGCGCCTTATACACAGGTACAGAAAAAAAAAAAAAAAAAAAATTATGGCGCTATGCCTGGCAATGTCTCTCAGCTCAGTAATCAGTGTGTTGACTCAACACTCAGAAACTACAACAACACTAACATTTGTCTGTCATCTTGGTTTGAAAGTAATCTTTCTAATAGATCTCAATATGTAGTTTATAATAATAATTCCTCAATTTGTTGTATATCACAAATGGTGTACCACAAGGTTCTATCCTAGGACCTACATGTAGGTACTCTATTGTTTTCAATTTACATTAATGATCATACACATTCTTCTAAAAACGACATTGTTACTATTATTTGTGACAAGTTTACAAGCACAAATCAGCGCCTTTAACCGCACCTCGATTTTAAATGAAAATCATTCCCCGCGTGGGTTTTCGGCAACAAAAAAAAAAACAACAACAAAAAACTTTTTTTTTTTCTTTTTTTTTTTTTTCTTGAGATAACGCGATCACGAGAACGGGACGTACGGACGGACAACCAGGAAACAAACGTAATGACTCAGGCATACTTTGTATACAGGTTTCACTGGAATATCAATTTAAGTAATACCTTCTAGACTTGATAAAACACCTTCCTCTACACTATCTCCTGTAGGTTCTTGCTTGATGTTGGTTTTGAGGGCTAACTGAGCGATTTCCTCTCCACTCCCACCGGTAGTTGAAAAGGTCACTGCTTCTCCCTTGAGAACTTCAATGGCTGATGGAGTGATTTCATTCATGGGTGACAGGTAATGAACGTCATTGCTCTCATCTTCTTGCTTGATGAGAACTCCTACAACTAATTGAATAGTTTCCTCTGAGCTCCTATTGGAAGGTGGTGAAGTATGTAAGGTCCAACTCTCTGTTCTTTGCATAATGTGATCCGGGACTGATGGTGCAGTTTCATCTACACTCTCTCCAGTATGTCGCAGAAAGTTGGACTTCCTACTTTCCATTTCTTGCTTGTTAGTACATGTATGTCCTAGTGATGTTTCTATGCACATATCTGTAGAATGCAGTGAAATCAAGGTCCTACTCTGAACTTCTTGCTTGGCATTAACTTCTGGGACTGACTGAACACCTTCTGCTGCACTCCTATCCGTTGTTCTGAGAGGATTTGATGCCCCTCTGGGCCCTCTCTCTGCTACTTGCTTGCTCATATCTTCTGGGACTGACTGAACACCTTCTGCTGCACTCCTATCCGTTGTTCTGAGAGGATTTGATGCCCCTCTCTCTGCTACTTGCTTGCTCATATCTTCTGGGACTAAATGGACACTTTCTGCTACACTTCTATATGTGGTTTGGTGCTGATTAAGTGTCCCTCTCTCCTTTTCTCGCTTGACTTCTGGAAATGACTGGACAGTCTCTGCTTCCCTCAGATCTGCACTGAATTCAAAGTCCTCACATCTGCTTCTTGTTTTAGACCTACATTCCCTGAAAATAGCAAGAAAACAAAGGTGTTTTATAGGATATTACAAATAGTACTTGATTTTCTTGCAAGGGGAACATATGGAGAAAATTGAATAAAGCTTTCTTGTGGGAAATCAATCATATTCTGAGTACTACCAATATTTGAAAATGAATAGTAGTAGTAGTAGTAGTAGTAGTAGTAGTATAGTAGTAGTATTATAGTAGTAGAAGTAGTAGTAGTAGCAGCAGCAGTAGTAGAAGTAGTAGTAGTAGTAGAAGTAGTAGAAGTAGTAGTAGTATAGTAGTAGTAGTAGTAGTACATGTACATGTAGTAGTTGTAGTAGTAGTAGTAGTAGTAGTAGTAGTAGTAGTGGTGGTAGTATATGCAACCACTGAAATACCAGGGACAAATTAAAGACCATATCCAACCTGAAAAATGAAATGGATAAATAATATATCAAACTGAAGCTTATGAGCCATAGAATACAGTAATTGCTTCTAATAGTACTACCCGGTATTCGCTCACAAAATGTCATGCAGAGGAGAAATAATTGTTTGAAAGCTTGAATTCACAAGCATCAAAACCTGGAAATAATCTCATGGAAAACAGAAAATGACTTGATGCCATCATCGTATGTAGAGGCTATAGCCACCAGTTGCTTCTACACATGTGTTTACGTGCTCTGAACATGGTATGTATATAATCACTTTGTTTTTTCATAATAGGTTCTTACATTCAAATATCTTTACGAATTACAAATGAATATCAAACAGCTCTATTGTTTCATTGAATCCTTATTAGTAATTAGCTAAATCAATGTGAAATAAACTTATCAGATACTCTGAGAAGTTTATGGGAGTCCAAGTCTATCATGAGTTGATCTACGCAGCGTTTGCCTGGCCCGGCCCTGATCAGGGCTGAATAGGCAAAGTCAGAAAGTCAAGCAAAGCCCGCTGAAGAGAGCGGTATGGGAGTTCACTAAACATTTTGCCTATAATTATAATGATGTCGCGACTTGCGAGAAACAGCATCAATAGCTTTAAGATTCCATAAGAAATCAATATTTCTATGGACTCTGTTTTCACCGTTCGGGTGTCCAGCATGAGCATGAGCATCTCTGACATTATCTCCTCGCTCTTCATTTGATTTCATGATTTTCTAAAGGGCAGAATTCAAAGAGTAAAACTGCATGTTTTGTCTGATTACGTTACTATGAATACAGGTTCTCCCAGGGTTGCGTGCTGTCAGCATCATCATTCATCATGTATACAAATGATTGTATCTCGTCAAATGACAATGTCTCAATTGTTAAATATGCTGATGACACAGGTATCATTGGCATGATCCATGGCAATGATGAACGTAAATAACAGGAGGAGTTATTCATGTGTGAGAATTGGTGTGAAGAAAATTTCTTGGTAATAAACATAGTTAAAAACGAAAGAGATGACTTTCGAGTTTTCGTTCAAACAAAGGTCACGCAAATCTAATCATGTTTAAAGGAGAGGATCGACTGAGTGTCAAGAGTTTTAAGTACCTTGGTACAATAATTGATAATTGATAATGAACTATCATTATAATTGATAATGAACTATCATGGAAAGACCAATGCCAATCTCTGTATGCAAAGACTCAACAACGAATGTACTTTCTACGAAAACTGAATTTGTTCCATGATGACAGAACCATCCTGAGGTTATTCTACTAGTCAGTAAAAGGAAGTGTAATGCTTTTTAGTTGTGCGGCTTGGTATTGTGGGTGCAGACAGGAGAATCTTTGGAAATCGCGGAGAATAGCTAATCATGCTGGCAAGATGACTGGCGAAGTGACAGATTTGAAACAGGAATGCTTTAGTACAATACTGAAACAGGTATCCCAAATTTTTGAAAATGGTAATCACCCCCTTCATCTTGTTATACCCTAATGCGATCGGGGAAGCGGTACAGATCAATGAAGGCTCGAACTTCACGATTCCTTAATTCCTTTGTCCCGCTTTCCATTTGTAAATACAATGAATAACTCCAGTCAAATTGAATGCATGTACATGTAGGCCTGTATCTTGCCACTTCGCTATTCATCAATTGCATTGTACCGTTTCCTTTCAACCAAATGTACCAGTATCATGAGCAAAGAAAATAAATAATACCCTACGATATCATTATTCCAAGTTTTAGTTACATACCGTTTAATATATGAAGAAGAAAAGAAAAGAATTCAGCTCATGATACTGGTACATTTCGTCACGCAAAGTGAATGCAATTTTTTTCCACTACCGTCACTTCGTGAAAACAGCGACGATTTGGTTGAAAGGAAACGGTACAATGCATTGAAGAATATTGTGGTCCACTATGTTGAATAACATTATCGAGTAGCATTATGAATAGGCTTTCAATTTGCAGTTTATTATGGTTCGAAATCAAAAAAAATGTTCAGTATTTACTTATTATAAACTCACTTGATCAGCCTCAATTTCTATTTAAAATATGAATATTCCTCACTTAACAATAATTACAAAAATAATAATAATGACAAATCTATTCTATTTGTATCATCAATTTGTTTGCAAGGATTGAATATGTAATAAGTTGTGAATAGCTCTCGGGCTACCATTTTGCAGTTGTTCTAATAAAACCATTCTACTACTACTATATTAACGTGACAAATAATGATAATAAATAATGTTGATGATGATGATAATAATAATTAATTATAGTAACAATAATAATGATAATAATAATAATACCTGCCTCACAGCAAGCATGCAGTGCTAGAGGTCAATACGCATTGGCATTGACAGATTGACTCTCTATGCTTTGCTGGAGTGGGCTAGAGACGATCTAGACCGAATTTTCCGTCTCTTTCGTTCTTATTTTATTTGGGTAGGACCCTAACCAAATAAGACGATCTAGATCTAGATTCTAGATCTAGATTTAAAAAAAAAAATGTTTACACTTTTTAAGAAGGGCTCTACCACTGACCCAGCAAATTACCACCCTAATTCACTCACGAGTACCTGTTGTAAACTATTAGAACATATTATTGATATGAGCCACCTTAGCGAACTCAATATTCTTGCAGAAAATCAGCATGCATTTAGGAGACACAGATCATGTGAATCTCAACTTATTTTGACAATTAACAACCTGGCAAAGAACCTGGATGAAAAAGCCACCACAGATTTGATAACACTTGACTTCTCTAAAGCCTTTGATGTCGTCTCCCACCAGAAGTTACTTCACAAGCTAGATTATTATGGAATCCGTTCAGATAACTTAAGATGGGTGACAAATTTCCTTACAAAACGACTACAACGTGTAGGCCTATGTGTTAACGGAAAACATTCCGACTGGAAGCCAGTTCTAAGTGGAACCCCGCACGGAACTGTGCTCGGTCCCAACTTGTTCTTGCTCTTTACAAATGACATTCACGACAAAGGCAAAAGCACCACCAAGCTATTTGCAGATGATTGCATGCTGTACCGTCCAATTAAATCAGTAAACAACGTAGACTTCCTGCAACAAGACCTAGATGCAATGGAGTGGTCTCAGAAATGGGGCATGAAATTCAACCCCAAAAAGTGTGAATCAATGCGTGTCACCAGGAAGAAGAAACCGGGTAAATCTTCATACAACCTCCTTGGTGTCACCCTGGGCAGCGTTTCTCGAAACCGTCATAACTACAAGTTCACCGACATCCCATTGAAACGCGTGTTAAACTTAATACACGCGTTTCAATGGGATGTCGGTGAACTTGTAGTTATGACGGTTTCGAGAAACGCTGCCCAGGAAGAATGTAAGCAGACAAAGTACCTTGTACGTGTTGTGATCCAGAACGACCTCCGATGGAATGGCCAAACTCAGCTCGCAACAACAAAAGCTATAGGGGTATTGAGTTTTCTGAGACGCAACTTTCATCACTGCCTCACTCTACCTCACCCTCGTTAGGCCACACTTAGATTACGCAGTTGCTGCTTGGGACCCATACACAGCTATCCCTGACTGACTCAGCAAAGTTTAAAGTAGCACTCCTTCCGAACAACAACCAAGTTACCAAGTACAAATCAGGGTTGTTGATTTTTTTGATTTAAATCAGATTTTTATGATTTAAATCAGATTTTTTTGATTTTTTTCCAACGAAAAATAATGGTCACACTTAACAAGTTTTAGACTATATTTAAACTGTTTTACACCAATAATAGTGGTCAAGTAGTCTTTTGAACATTGTGTATTGTACTATTTGACACAATAATCCACTTACACTGTATATACAGGTAATTTTTTTTTTTTTTTTTTAATTTATTTGCATTATAGAGAGGGACATTTTATGGAAGCCCAAGTAATGTTATGTATTATGTATACATTTAAACTCTTGAAATTTTTATATCAGTCTGTACGTTAACATCTAATTTGAATGTAATATTTAACCAGATTTGCAATAGGCACTTCCTGATATGCTTGTAACAAAATACACATTTTATGTTTTCATTACAGTGTAACCTCAGTTCCAAATAAAACTTCAATAAATTTCGTTGCAAGATGCAGGATAAGCACCACTGTCCACCACATCATTGATGTGCTGTTTTTTCAAACTATTACATGAACAAGCAAGCACAGCAGTTGTATTGCTGCATACAGTAACACTTGCCCAGCAACTTTCCCATTTTTAAATTATTACTTATTAAGTATACTGTACATGTGTACTTTGAAATTGTGTAATTGAATGTATGGGTATTGATAAGAAAATACACAAGCATGCAAATATACATGTAATTCTTATCAAATGTACACATATGCCTTCAACTTAAGTAATTGAAAGAATGGGTATTAATAGTAACAAGAAGGAGGTACATACAAGTAGTTCAGCTGTTTTGTAAAAGTATCCAAGTTGTGGACTTTGAGCACCTTTGTAGATTTTATATATTATTTTATTGAAGATTTAACAGTTTGGTGTACATACAGAGAGTTATTTATCATTACTTCGTTAGAAACTTGTTGTTTTCATCAGTTTTGCTTGTTTTACAATTTGAAAATAAAACAGTGGTGTTAAATCAGACTCCATGAGGGTGTATCATTCTTTTAAAGTATCTCTAAAGCATGTGGAACAGAAATGAAAATGATTACATTGAAAGTATCTGTTAAGAAGAAGAGAAAATAGAGAAAACTAATTTTTTTCATAAAAGTTGATTTAAATCAGTGATTTTTTTGAAAAAAATCAAGTGATTTAAATGATTTAAATCGACATGATTTAAATCAAACAACCCTGGTACAAATAATATCAGTTAATATTAAAAATAAACTCGAGTTCAGGTAATGCGATTGAATTGTGAAAGAAGCTCCTTTTCGAAGTCAGAGACAGAGCAGAGACGGATAAGATAACGTGCTAGCCGGATATCATACATAAGTAACGGGAACTTCGTTTGAGTTTCATATCACCAAAGGCTTTTCTGACGTGGACACTCGTATTTTAGACAATTACCAAGAGCTAATAGTGCCACAGGGAGCTCCATAGCATTCCAGTATCAGTGCATTTAGGATTTTACCACGATTTTGTGAGAGGTCTACTGGTCCAACTTGAGATTTTAGATTTGATCTCTACCTTTGGCTTTGTTTGGAGGGAGAGAAAAAAAAAAAAAAAAAAATGGCCACCAGAGGCAGAAAGACAAGTGTCAGCAGGAACACTGGACGTAAAGGAAGTGTAAATGAAAAGACTTCAGCAACTGATAAAAACGAGAAACACAACCAAGCCCAAGGTAGGAAAGAGAACAAAGACAATTTCAGTTGTGGAAGCTGTGGTATGATTGTACTGGATGATGATGCAGCTTTAGAATGTGAACTTTGCAACTTTTGGTACCACTGTACCTGTCAAAAGATATCCACAAATCTGTACAACACTATAAGTGAACTTGACGAAGATGATGATGGTGTACACTGGTACTGTAAAACTTGCAACAAGACAGCAAAAAGTATGATGACGATGATGACGTCGCTGAAGATACAACACACCAAGTTGGAATCCAGTGTGGCTGAGCTGCGAGAAGAGATGCATGAGTGCAAGACAGGGTGTGTCCAGTCTCACTCAGAGCTTCGGCAAGAGATGCGAGACATGTTTGACAGACAAGGTAGCTCAGTCATGGCTAATCCAGACCAAATTGATAAAGCCGAAACATATGAAATTATGAACAAAGTGATGAAAGAACGGTTCGATGAAATAGACGAGAAAGAGAAGAGAAAAACTAACATAATTTTCTTTGGAGTACAAGAGTCAGTTAGTGGAGAGCCAGCAACAAGGAAAAGAGACGACGAAACGAAAATCAGAGCAATGATCGATCGTTTACCCAATAAAAGTCTGGAGATCAGAACGCTGTACAGGCTGGGGAAGAAAGAAGACACTAAAACTAGACCGCTCAAAGTAGTAATGAACAACCAGGCCATGAGAGATGAAATCTTGCAGAAATTCAGAAAGGGTGAACTAGACCTTAGTGCATATGACGAGGGCGTTGTGCAGCTATCGAGGGACAGAACCAAGACAGAGAGAGAAGAGTACAGGAAGCTTAGAAATGAACTCAGGGAAAGGAAAGAAAGAGGAGAGAATGACCTTGTCATCAGGAATGGACAGATTAGAAAGCAGACTTTTCGTCCCCACGGCGAAGAACCTGCATAGAAACCAGAACCACAACACCAGCACTGCACATACACGCACACGCACTAGTAGAGAAGAGCACGAAAGCACTCCTTTTAACCTTTCAGTTATGTATACAAACTGTGACTCTGTTCTAAATAAGAGAGAAGAATTACAAACTTTGATTTTGAACACCAATCCAGATATTATTGCGCTGACTGAGGTTTACCCAAAAAACTCGCCTGAACGAATTCAACCATGCGAATTGAACCTTGATGGGTACCAGATGTTTCTACCAGAGAGATGTAAACAGAATGGGAGAGGAGTTATCATGTATTTGAAAAATGGTATAGCAGGATCATTGGTGGACCTAGATGAAAACTTTGATGAATCTGTTTGGGTCGAGATAACGATAGGGGAATCCTCTCTTCTTATTGGATGTATCTATAGGAGCCCGTCCAGTGTAAGTGAAAACAATGATAACTTATGTAACCTACTCAAGAGGTCATGTGAAAGGAGATACACACATTATGTTGCAGTGGGTGACTTCAATTACAAGGAAATCAACTGGGATAACGACACGGTGAATGGCAGTAACTTGAGAGGAAGTCACACATTCCTAACCTGTGTCAGAGACTTATTTCTGTATCAGCACATTCACTGCAACACTAGATACAGAGATGGACAGGACCCGAGTACTCTTGACCTGATTTTTACCAAAGACGAAGACACAATACATGACATTGACACCAACCCACCCTTGGGTAAGAGTGATCATGTAGTACTCCAATTCAGACTTGAGGTAAATGCAAGTTCTTCAGAGAAGGAGAACAGCAAAAAGAGAAGCTACTATCACGGAGACTATGATGAAATGAGGAGAAGACTAGAAATGATTGACTGGGAAACAGACCTAAATAACCTTTCTGGTTTAGAGGCATGGAATCATTTTGAAAAGACAATGATTTGTTGTATAGAGGACCTCATACCAATCAGAAGAGTATCTCAAAAGAAAAGACCAGAATGGATGACCAGCAGCGCTAAAGAGGCAGTACGAGACAAACATAAGGCATGGAACAAATACAGCAAGAGAAAGACTGATACAAATTGGAGCTCATATGTTGACAAAAGAAATGCCGCAACACTCATGACAAGGAATGCCAAAAGTGACTTTGAGAGTAAAATTGCAAATGAGGTAAAAACCAATGCCAAGTCCTTCTGGAAATACGTAAAGAGTAAAACCAAGACTCGAACAGGAATTCCTGACCTGCAGATGGAAGATGGTAACTGGGTGAGGAATGATCAAGAGAAAGCAGATGCCCTCAATTCAATTTTTGGAAGTATTTTTACAGAAGAGGACTTGGTGAATGCTCCAGACATGGATCCTTACCAAGTAGAATCATCCTTAAACGATGTCGAGTTTACAGAGGAAGTAATTGTGGACATTTTATCTAAATTGGACATAGACAAATCACCAGGCCCAGACGGTCTACACTCCAGAGTTTTGAAAGAAACGTGTCACCAGATTGGAAAACCTCTTCAAATGATCTTTTCCCGACTATTCAAAGAAGGCAGCGTTCCAGCAACATGGAAAGAAGCTACGGTGGTCCCAATCTTTAAGAAGGGAAAAAAGAGCCTACCAGGGAACTATAGCAGTATAGGCCGGTGAGTCTAACATCAATTATCTGCAAAACAATGGAGAAGATTATTCGAAGCAAGATGATCCGACACCTAGAACTCAATCACCTATTCACTGACGACCAGTACGGCTTTCGCAGTGGCAGATCCTGTTCAACCCAATTGACTGTTGTCCTTGAGCAGTGGACCAAGATTCTTGATGATGGCCATGGAATAGACTGTTGAAAAAGATTTTCAAAATGGATTTCGATTTTGACCCATAATTTCCTAAAAAGGGACTATTAAACTGATTATTTCAGTCAAGTTGGTAAGTGGAACTGATTTATTATAGCCTAGGCCTAATTTACAATATAACATGCTCGAGGTAAAATGACATTTTGGGGGATTTTGGGGGCAAAACGCTACGACCAGGACTGGCCGTGGCGTTAGCAAGGACATGTGTATAAACGGCTTCCGTCTCTAAAGAGAGAGCCGACCCTACCCCAATAAGAGGCTAACGAACGAAAGAGACGGAAAATTCGGTCTAGTAGTAGTACTACCCGATTTCCTTATCTTTCTAGATAGTAGAACGTCTATAGACTCTAGATCTACATTTTCTTCCAAAATTGTTTGGCACATGACATTTATTTGTAATCTGAACATTCAGTGTAAGTTTCGTTAGATTCTGTGAGAATTCATTTTCTTTTTTAATTTTACCAGAACTCAAGTTTATCTTTAATCTCAACAACACTTACATCATGTAACTTCACTGATCTACATAGACTAAGGTCTACACCTAGCTCTCCACAAATTCTAAAATATCAGACTTAGGTTGTCAGCGATCAGATTCAGAGGCAATATGTATCCGTCCATCCATCCAAAGAGCAATCAATGGGTGATCATCATAGCAGAAGATAATGTGGAGAAGGATCTGATTGCTCAGATAAATCGTCCCATTGAAACTCGTACTCGCAATAATTAATCGGTACGGCTTCGTGTGTAGGAATGAACTGCGAGTACGAGTTTCAAACTACCGAGAGCGAATCTTAGCATCGAAAATTGGACAGGGCGATTTTTATTGCAACCGTCCCTATGTGACATGTATAGTAGGCCTAGGCTACTACTGCACATGCAAAGCCAAAGGTTAATCGGTTTTCAATCCGGAATACTTCGACACAGGTGGATGCTTCTACGGATATTTACAAGATTTGTATCCAAGGTGAGTATAATACAAAGTCTGGGCAACAACGTTTGCATGTGGTGGAATATAAACCGGATGGTATGCAAATTGTAGAGGATATTTTTGAACAAGTTGCAGCTGTTTTACTGTTAGTTACAAATTTACGATGGGACAGGTGTGTTCTACGAGTGGTGGTGGTACCTTAGTTGAGAGCCAATCTCAGCCGCAACTCCAGGGTGGAGGCACGCCGCATGCTGATGATGATGGTGAACGTGATCGTGAGGTGATAATGAGTTCATGTGCAGATGCATGTGCTGCTAGTAAATGATAATACGAGTAGACGATAATACGCCAACGCCGGTCTGTATTTAACCGGAACAAGAAGACCGAAAATGTCTGTATCTTTTCAGAGACGCCAAGTTCAAAGATCAGCAATGCGTGACATTTTCATGATTCGGCGCGCAAGCGCGCGTGCGAGGGTATAACACACGTATAAGGTATAGCGTTTTTTCAAAATCTAGCGCGTGCGTCGTGCGTGAGAGCATTTTCAGACCCTCAAAATGCATGACGTCATGCCTAATCTCTACACAAACCTTTAAACTAGACCCTTTGCCTCCAAAAGAACCGTGCATCAATTTAAAATGCACATGACACCCCCGCTAGACGTTAGTGCTTCTAAGCGATGTCTGGACACCAATTCTGAGATTCTGAGATTCTAATGCGTGACACTTGGTAGCTCTGTCTTTTATTCGAAGTCTCAGATTTAGGTATAGGGTCGGCTTCTCTCTTTAGAGACAGAAACCGACCATAGGTGCTACCGTGTAGGTTACGTGGACCTATTTATCCACCAAACTTGGCAAAACTTATGCCCAAATTCCATATTAAACATCAACAGGATGCATATCCGGTGCATCTTATATTGAAAATTAGGCCTAGATTTTAGGCTATTATAGGTCTACTACATGTATATCAGTTCCACTTACCAACTTGACTGAAATAATCCGTTTAATGGTCCCTTTTTAGGAAATTATGGGTCAAAATCGACATCCATGTATTTTAAACTCTTGCTGCGCATGACGTCATGATTGTCATCTAAATCTCATCCCTTCTAGTTTACACGCAAGGCGAAATGATGATGAAGGAAAAATTGTGCATGAGCATTGAGTGCTGTACAGTGAGTTTAAATGCTCCCATTGGCTGACCTGCTCAAGCGTCTTCAAATTTAAGTGAGAGAGGGCCTAAAAGCAGAGCGCGCAATGGCAATGCCAATACATAATATTTCATAACACACTGATATGTTATGCTTTATACAGGTCAGGTGACGCACTTCACACATAACTGATGCACATTAAGCATAGACCGAAAGCTTCAGTCTCTATACCGTCGGTTGTTCCACTGAGACTACGTCTGGCTCCACTAGACCTCCGGTTATAGAGACAGAACGACTGCCTATGCCAGCCTGTGTTGAACTTATTCCGCTAGATTTTAGCCGCTAGGCCCCTCCCACAAACTTGCCACGGCCGTATTGTTATGCCCCCAAAATCCCCCAAAATGTCATTTTACCTCGTCCATATCCAATTTTAAATTAGGCCTAGGCTATAATACATCGGTTCCACTTACTAATTTGATGGAAATAATCCGTTTAATGGTCCTTTTTAAGGAAATTATGGGTCAAAATCGACATCCATGTTGAAAATCTTGCAAGCCGTGTTAAACTCTCGTTGCCGTCAATCTCATCCCTTCTAGTCTACGCCGAAGGCAAAATGATTATGAAGGAAAAAACTGTGATAACGCCATTACGAACGTGTAGATGGCGCACAGTTTTTCCTTCATTATCATTTTGCCTTCGGCGTAGACTAGAAAGGATGAGATTGACGGCAGCGAGAGTTTAACGGACGGCTTGCAAGATTTTCAACATGGATGTCGATTTTGACCCATAATTTCCTTAAAAGGGACCATTAAACGGATTATTTCCATCAAATTAGTAAGTGGAACCGATGTATTATAGCCTAGGCCTAATTTAAAATTGGATATGGACGAGGTAAAATGACATTTTGGGGGATTTTGGGGGCATAACAATACGGCCATGGCAAGTTTGTGGGAGGGGCCTAGCGGCTAAAATCTAGCGGAATAAGTTCAACACAGGCTGGCATAGGCAGTCGTTCAGTCTCTATAACCGGAGGTCTAGTGGAGCCAGACGTAGTCTCAGTGGAACAACCGACGATTATAGAGACTGAAGCTTTCGGTCTACATTAAGCATAGCTACACACATAAAATAGAAGGAACAACTTTAGAATATCCCATCACTAAAATTGACAAAATGTTTGAGACTTAAGCTTTATAAGTAACATTAACCTAATCCTAACCCTAACCCTAAACCCAACCCTAGGTCTTTGACATTTATGTACATTAAAGTTGATACTCTAAGACAATCCCAAATATTGAGATAATTACATCAATAGAAAGCTTTTAACCCCTGGAATAACACTAAATGGTGTCCAACTGACAAAAACAATTTTAGAATGGTGAATTTATGCGAGTAAACTCTACCAAACTATCTAGTCTGAAACCCGGAAGTGCATGTAGAGTCGGGCCTCTATCCGTGACGTCACAAACGGGACTCATGGGCTCAGTGAGAGTGAATGGCAGTGATATCCCTACGTAACTGCTATGTTGTCAGAGGTTAGATTTGTTGTTGTTAAGGAGTATATTTGATGGATTTTCTGTTTTCATTTGAATGAAGAATAACGAAGCAACATTTACCACTCGCTGATTTCTTTTTATATCCTCATATTCACCTATTTGGTAGAGATTTAAGACGAGTTTACTGCTTTGGAAACAAGGTTAAATCATGCGCGTATGAATAGGCGGATGCATTATCTTGTCATCAGATAAGGTACAGGAGCAGTTTTGTAAAACGAATAGGCCTAGAACTAGAACTATGATCATAAATGTGTGTGACTGCCTCAAAAAAGGATACAGTACCAGTTAAACATTTTATGTTGTAAAATATCAAACTTGAAAGAGATCATGCAAGCGCGCTTCCTCTATAATATTTTGGCGAGTGATGCGGCTCTTGCATGAACGTTCGTGAAGCGAGCAGAATCAGGAGGTAAGACCAAGCCGCTGCTCTAGGCGCTGCTTGCTTGTATTGGAACGTACGTGCGCTCGTTATATGTTTATCGGCAATTGCAAGAGAATGCAAGCGACGTTGCCAGCTAAGAAAAACAACTAACAAAGACTTGCCCCTGACTACCGGTGTCAGAATTGGTAGATGAAGGATGTTCAGGGCCAAGGAAGGCGAAATACATGGGAAAAGGGAAGAAGAAACCATAGGGAGATCGCTGTATGGTAATGAACTGTGCATGGGCAGACAGCTACTGTTCACTCCGTGCCTGGGCCGATTTCAACACCAAAACAAAAATTACATGGTGAAAATATCGACTAATAGCACATCGTTGGCATGTATACAGTGTATGTCATAATTTTTAAAAGGGGAATTGATATTAATACTATGAAGTACTAGGGGAATGTAAAGAATTGTACTTAGAATTATTATTTATTAGACTTTTTAGCCTTTGAAACAAATATAAGCAGAAAATCGTATCACTCTGCACATGTATGCTTTCTATGGAACATCCGGGTACGTGAATATACTCTTTCCCGGACGTGATGTCATACATGTATGTAGTAGACCAGCGCCGTGACTGATTTCTACGCAAAGAGAGGGGGATATTTTTGACATTTCAATGAAGGATTTCGAGTAGCCAGATTTTTTTGGTGATGTACTATGTAATTGAAAAACTTATAAATAACATATGCTTGCCGTAGGTACCAAATTAAGGGACATTTATTTGCTTAGAATATCAGCTTTAAAGAAAAAAAACATGAAAAACTTGAAAAATAGCCTGACTGTCATGGAAAATATACCGAGCGGCCATTTTGAGCGACCATTTTGAAAGAAGAAAAAAAAAGGGCCTCCTCCTTCCTATTTTTCAAAAAAACAGGACGCTAAACATGTTTGTTTTTTTTTTGCCTTATGAATAGTTGACAAAATGGGCATTAGACAAACTTGGGAATTGGACTGACTTGAAAGTAGACCAAATGAGCAATAGACCTAGTGGGTCGTAAACTTATTGGAGATACAAGACCAAATGGAAATTAGACCAAAAGACTATCAGCCTAAATAGTCATTAGACCAAATGATAAGTAGACAGACGGGCTGGGTGCAAAAATATGGGTCGGTTGGTCAGATTTTTTTTGGAACCCCCTCTTTGGGCTGATATTTCTCAGTTTTTGATGCTTAAATCCACTTTTTTTCAAAAAATTGTTTAATAAAAAGTTTATTAAAGCCACAATGTACTACATGTACTTGTAGATATTTGTTCCCTCTAAATAGAAAAATTCCCCAATCAGGGCATGTTGGTCCCCCATGATCATCTTTTTCTTATGTTAATTGAGAGCTGATCTCAATGACCTCAGTGACCTCGCTGTATTTCTGGCCTTTAGAAAGCCAACCATAGATTTCAAGATTTGTGGGTCTGTCTGAAAGGGAAATACAACACCTTTTTTTTATAGGCCTAAGGCCTAAAAAAAAAACTTGTTGTATTGCCCTTTGCGACCGACCCGAAAATCTGAAAATCTGAAAATCTATGGTCAGCATTTTAAAAAAGTTTTTTTTTCAACCGTTTTTTAGATATTTTGTTATTAATGAATAAAAAAAATATGTATTTTGTTTGTTTAAATGGGATATAAATGCATACAATCAAATTATTCCAAAATTCTCACTCGTGCAAACCATGGATAATTATGAGGTGAAAAAGATATCAATGGAATGATGACGCTAAAACACATGTATTAAAGCATTAAAACTGAGAAATATCAGCCAAAAGAGGGTGGGAAAAAACAAAAAACATTCAAATCTGAAAAATATCTGCCCAAAGAGGGCGACAAAAAAAAAGTTTTAAAAAAATTAAAAATCTGACCGACCGACCCATGTTTTGGCACCCAAATGGCAATACAACAAGTTTTTATTTTAGGCCTAATCAATGATTTTTGTCACGATTAAAATTGAGTCTAAAGTGATAAAACTGTAAATAAACTGTTTATGTTGTATACTGTAGCTCCCTCTCAAGACTGACAATGTTTCTTGACTACAATTGACCGATTTGATATATTCCTGTTTAGAAATTATATCAGAACTGCATATTCTGAGATTTTCATGATCGCAGCTACATTTCCTATGGAATGGCTTTCGGCACTATTTGAAATATTTGAAATTTACCGGGAGCACTGGTAAATTTGTGATTGGTATTCAATTTCTCGAAAGCAGTTGTGTTTTAGCTAGGGGCTAAATTTTCTAGGGAACTGAAATATACCACTAAACACGAACATACATGTACATGTACATGTACAATTATACATTGATGTTTAATACAGTGCATGTAAATTATATACCAATTTCACAGATTTCTACTTAAATGCTACTTAAAGTTTTAATCTGACTCAATATTAGGAGATTCATGTACAGACTAGACCAGACAAGTGGGGCTAGGGATTATTTTTGACTTCTCTTATAAAGCTTGAGAGGTTTATATTGTCATAAGGATTTTATACACACTCTCTCACACACAAACAGCTCACAGCACACACCGGCTAGAATCCCATTCATAAAGATCTAACAAGTGAGGGTAGAAAAAGTTGGTAACATGTGTTGTGCTTTGGTATGCAGAGCTGTGGCAGCCCGAGGGGTGCTGGTATGTTACATGTACACATAGCAAACAATCAGAACTCAGCTGACAGCCTTCGATTAGCGGTAGCAGTGAGCCAGCCAGCCAGCCAAGCTCATACGTGGCAACTCAAGTCCAAGGATAGAGAGTCATTATTAGGCTAGGCAGGGGTATTACTCTACTGTAGCTTTAGGTGCCTTTGCCTCAAGGCTCAAGCCCTCAACTCGTACTTTCAATAGTTTGTGGATGAATTGATTTGAACTTTGAAGATTAGTTTGTGTTTGGACAGGGAATCAACAAATCTGAGTTACCGGTACATTGTAGGCCTACTGCATGTACATGTAAAAGTGCTTGTGTGTGACTACCATAGTTGTTATAAAACTAACTTTTGATCAAGGAACTTTTTATACACTGTGGAATCATGGGTGCAATCTTATCTTACTTTTGGTCAGAGCCGCAGGAGAGGAGCTTAGATGTTGAGGTAAACAACATGTCCTTTTGCTGTTTGTATACACATGTACATGTACATGTACTAGAACTACTTTTTAAGTTACCATGCATGTACTACAGTGACATTGAGCAAGTCCAAAGTGTAATGCACTTGAACAGGGCCAATGTAAATGTACAGTATGTACTTGTGAATACATACTGGTACCAGTACCTGCATGGTTGGACATAGTATTTCAAGTACATGAACACTGTACAGGTACTTCCTTTAATAATGAGATGAACCTGATATCATGTATTGTGTAATGTCAGCCTTGTCAGGTGCATGTACAATGTACTTACGTTGTATCTTTTTATGGAGGGGGGGGGGGGATTAGATGAGCTAACAAAAGAAGGAAAAAAAATACTAGCAAAACTAGCAAACAAAATTGCTACAGATGGAATAATATTTACCATACTTGATAACTTCCTTTTTTTCACATCACATATAAATGTATTATGTACAGGTGTACATAAATATACATGTATATTTGGTTTTATGTAGAAGTTCAGACTTGTGATGATGTTTACGTTCCTCTTTTTTTCTTCTTTAAAAAAAAATTAAATGATCAAAATCTTGATCATAAATTTGCAACCATGATCCTAATGATTACATGTATAATAAGCAGATACATACATGTACATGTACATGTAAAATTGTAAATTGTTTTAAAGGTACTACCTGTATGTCCCATTTGCAGGCCCAAAAAATGAAAAAGTTAAATTCCAACTGCATTTGAAAGATAATACTAATTTAGAACTTCCCTAAAAAAGGTGGGGCTTGAAAATGTCTTCAAGTGGGAAAATAATGACTATTAGTTGTCAAATCGACTTTAGGGCTATAGAGCCCAAAAGTAATAGTCTTGATTTTCAGACAATTGTACCATGGACCTACTACAAGTGGACACTGAACGGTACGATAATACATTCATGCACCTGACTCTGTCAAAAGTATCATAATGACATTCTAAACATGCTTCCAAGCTTTGATCTCATCACGACCGCCGCCAGTCAGCCATAAAAACCCCAAACTGTGCCTTGAAGAATCTACAAAATGCCTGCGCAAATGAAATTGAATGGCTTAAAATCACAGAAATGCATGTGCAGTTGTGGAGTACATATGAATATTGACGTATATGAAATTTTCAATAGGATATTAGAACTAGTTTACAAGATAAACCTGTAAATTTGGCTGTAACACAATGATTTTAAACTTCATTAAAAAACCTATACTTTCCATTTCCAAGGAAAATAAGATAATAGGACGGTAAATAGTATGTATTTTTCAAAGTTTGGTAAATCCAAATGTAAGTCCACCAGTGCCAACTTTTTTAATACTCGATCTAATATTACACAAATTGTCACAATTTAGGGTTCACTGCTCCTCTATAACTGGTCATAAATCACAATACTTTTCCTGAAACTACACTCTGTGCCCTGGCCCAGCGAAAAGAATCTGAAGAAATGTAAAGGGTTCTTTAGTCTATGATGATGCGTGATTACATAATCAACATTGTCGCGTCAAATGAATGTCCTCATCAACATACACATTATCAGGTGGCGGTGGTCATGATGTGATCAAAGAGAGACTCTCATTATTAGTCCATCTGTAGTAGGGTCCATGATTGTACCAAATGGTCATACGTTTTATACTGCGCAAAGATTCAATCAGTTTAATCTTGGCCATCACAAGAAGTGGGTTATTGATGTAGACAAATGCTCATGTATCCTTTACAACTCTTTTCATGTTATTACCAAAGAAGAAAAAAGCCAGTCAGTCACTCAATAGTGTCTGACAGTGAAATCCAGCAAGTAAACAGGTTTCCTTGCATAATTTGAATATGAGGACACTGCTAACGTTTAAATTTCACAGATAGGACATACATGACATATTCATAATTCCTGCAAAGTTCTACAGAATTTGAGGTTGGCTGCAAGGGACAAAGTACCTTTAAAGCTTGTGTTTGCAGAAAACAGATGTTTGCTTGTTTGTAAAGTAATCTACAGGTGCAGGGAATAATTTTCCTGGTATCGCATCACAATTTGCTATGCATTTTCGCATGACTGCTATACAAAATATCTTTTGTGTAGCAGTTTTCTTCCATAGGAATGTACAGAATTTCATTTGAAATATTTTTTTTTTTTTGTGTGTGTGTAAAATTATTCAGTTTTATAGTAAGGATATATTGACTGCTTTGAGAGGCATAGTGGTTTCTATAGGGTCAAGGGAAACTCACAACCTGCTATGATAGCAGGTTGTGAGTTTCCCGAGACCCTATAGAAACAACAATGCCTCGAATATTAAAAGCAGTCAATATATATTTTATATACCGAAAAAAAGGAAAATGTTGACTCACCCATTTAGGTTTCCATCTCTTTGAAGTCATGAATATTAACACCAACAATAACTTGTGTACAGTATGAAATCCAACAAGCTGTGCTCCAGTAGAACAGGGAATACCAAACACGTTTACACGAACAGTAACTTTAGTATTGAGAAAGTGACGCTGAAGTCCGAATCTGATCGTTAGCATTGATTTCTTGCTGTAATAATCGCCGTTTTTCTGCCTGCAACCCGCATAGAATTTTTGAAGGATCTTGTCCAGGTCTGCATTCGGAAGTCTGTTTACATCTCCGAGGTCCGTGTTGACATTTCGCAAGAACTCTTCAGATATTTTAATGCCGTATTTTACTGCATACTTCGTATTTTTGCTATCAGCAGAATCGATTAAGTCTTGCAGCTGAATGTCATCCATAAGTTGAAATCTTGGCATAGCTGTGTCCTCCATTTTGCCTCTTTATTGACAAAAAATTGGAAACAAAAAACCCCAGTATTTTGCGATCGAGACTAGTACACAAAATGGCGATCGGTCGTCTGCGCTGCGTGGATTGGTAGATTCGTCGCCTGAATGCAGCGACCAAAATCGAATTGCACTCAAACACCGTTAACGGTATTGCGCATCGGTCATTGCACAAAAGAAACTTATACGGTAACACGTAAACCAAAATGGGGATCGCAGCAAAATGACGTCACGTTTCACAGCCATGGAAAAAGTGCTATGAAAAATGGATATAAACCGGTAGAGCCGGGAAAAATGACTATGAATTTCAATTAGCGGGCATGGTTAAGAACATGACTGCATTTCCAACCAATCAGAAGACAGGATTAGTAAAGAATCTTAAAATGAGGTATATAATGTACAACATGTTCAGAGCATAGAGATGTGTGCTGTACATATTACTTTTGACTTGTGTATTACACCTGTCATTCTAAAAGAAAAGAAAATGCTTTACTTTTCCCAAGTGCGTATTGTCTGTAATAATTACTCACGTGTTGCTGCCTAAATACATGTAGATCTATGCCATTTTCAGGGTATAGTTTACTGTTCTAAATAAATTAATATCATACAGTACATGCAATGTAATATACACACATGTATGTACATGTACTTACGGTAGCTATTTACCAACAAATTTTCTGGACTTGATTAGTCAAAAAGTGGAATTGTGATGTGCGCTAAGTGCTAACAACATTGAGAGAAATTGGAAAGTAAGCATTTTAAAAAATCTTAGATTTAATACCTACAATTCAGATAAAAATGTAAAATTATGGTAGGGCATAAATTCACCAAATGTCTTCTCCAGATTTCCTGATCTTCTAGGTAAAATCCAAGGTGAAAGCAAAGGTCAAGAGGTCATTGAAATTTATTGTTCAGAAGAAGTGTATAGAGTGGCGAAGTGTGACATCATCAAAAATCTATTTTCAGAATTTCTCAATTTTTTCTTTATTTTCCGAAAGAACATCAAAAATAATGTCCAAATGTCTAAAAACAATTTAATATGTTACTGTAAGTATTGGCTGAATATACACTGTATGTCCTATGGGAACTCAGTGTTTAAATGTGCTCTGGCTCCTAATAGTTGGGAGCCAGAGCATATACTGTAACACTGAGTTCCTATATGAAATATATTCATTCAGATGGTCATATCTCAGCCAATACTTAACATATTAAATTGGTTTTTCGACATTTGGACATTATTTTTAATGCTCTTTCGGAAAATGAAGAAAAAATTGAGAAATTCTAAAAATAGATTTTTGATGACGTCACAGCTTCGGTACTCTATTGTAGATTTAGACTGTGAATGTTACATGTACTATATATGTACAGTACATTGATATCAACAAGTTTGACTCAATACTAGTTAAAGAAATACAGTCTTATGGCTGTTTAAAAATTAGAAAAAGTCTTAATTCATAGCCAATTCCTTCTGAATGTTTACCATTGAATAGAGGGGAAAAAACGTTTTAAAACTCTTAGTTTCTGCTTTAAAAGCTGTAATTAGGTATAATCCCATATTATACACAATTTGTGCTTATTTGAAGGGAGTAGGGCTAAAATTAAAAGTGAAAAATGTTTGATTTTGCAGAGGATAACCATGCTGTCCTTTGCTTTTGCAGGTACATGTACATGTACACATCATGGCACATGTGAATTTCATTACTAGGGGCATACATATAGTATAGTTATTTAAAGAGATTTAAGTGTTACTGATGAAGAATTTCTGATAATGATTTTTCCTTTGGAGGTTCTTCTGAAGTTTGTTTAGGGAATGCACATTACGGGAAACTTATCTGTCATGAGTGCAACGTCCACTCTCTGTGATGTTTATCATACAGTATGTTATCAGGGCAATACCTGTATCCCCAATTAGAACCTGAAACAATAAGACTTTGATTCACCTGTCTAGCCACTGTTCTCTTACATGAAACATGTGCAGGTTTCTAAATGAATCTTCTTATATTTCTCTTATCTTCAGGCTGTCCAGTCCCCTGCTGCAAGCTCCATTCCCACAGTCATGGCTAGCAACAAACCAGAAGTGGTCTTTGTATTAGGAGGACCAGGGGCTGGCAAAGGAACACAATGTCAGAAGATCGTAGAGGTAAGATATCAATCCAGTAGTGGTCTTTGTTTTAGGAGGACCAGGGGCTGGCAAAGGAACACAATGTCAGAAGATCGTAGAGGTAAGATATCTAACCAGTAGTATGATAGTGGCATTTATCTTACGAGGACATTACATTTCTCACTTGCATGAATTGTAAGTATTGTCCATTTTAGCAGCAAGAAACTCCCCAATTACAAAAGTTAATGCCGTGATTCATCTTTTTTATTTCAAGAAATATTCACGACTCGGACTCGCATGTAAAATGTACGTAAATTACAAAGTCTATATTAACAATTTTTGAAGTTTACTGCACTCGTTTTTATTCTTTCACATTCTTTGTATTTTCTCAACAGAAATTTGGCTTCGTACATTTATCAGCTGGTGATCTTCTGAGAGCTGAGAGGCAAAGCGGGTCTAAGGATGGAGAGCTCATAGAGACATATATTAAAAATGGAGACATAGTTCCTGTAGAAATTACATTGAACTTATTGGAGAGGGTATGTACACATCTGTAGAGGCTGCTCTTACATTTTTACTGGCAACAATTGCTCTGGACCTTTCTTTGTCAAATATACAAGGCTAGGGTTGGGGTAAGGGTTACATGTAGGTACATGGATAGTATTGGGTGTATTAAAGGTTAAAGCTAGGAATTTGATTAGTGTAGGCAACTATAGCAGAGCAATTATTGTGACAGGAACAAGTGTAGTACAAATCTATAAAGAGACTGTATTTGTTTTCATGAAGTAGAATAGCCTGAATAGGAAAATTGTTTTGATCCCAATTTTTCCTCCATGCACGATGCAGATCCATTTCATTTTCGATTTTCCGTTATTCATTATGATTACAATTTTGAAAAGGTACAAAGTACAATGTGAAACAATTTAGTTCCGGAGTTTGTTTCCTATCACCCAGTGTCTCTATTCACACTGTTATACAGTAGCCAGGTTGAATCAGCCATTGAGTTGTACTTCTCTGAATAATACTTGAACAAAGATATTCCTTCTCAAGTTCCTTATAAATTAAATGCAATGCAATAACATGAATTGGGGTTACCATACATGTTTGTTCAACTCTGCTTTTATATGGGATACTTCTGAAGTCTGTTGTCCGTTTTGATACAAAATTTGTATTCTGTTATTGCTGGTAATGTTCTTTGGTTCAAAGTCCAATGACTTGAATAATTTATTACCTGGTATGACTATGAATCAAACAAATTGCATGATTAATGGCTAATCTTGAATTGCAGTAATGGTGCTGCTTTTTTCCATCAAGAAACTTGTTGAAAGAAATGTAGACTGTGTTTGGGCCAGATAATGTAACAAAGTTAAGAAAACGTGTGTCAGAGTACTACATTGCATTTCAATGCCAAGTTGTTATTTTCCTGAGTGTTTGTTTGGACAGTTCAAATTGAAATCACTTGATGATTGCATTAAAGGTAAAGACCAGTTATGGTCATGCGATTGCATTGTGAAAGAAACGTTGTGGAATCAATCAGAAAAGGTTGATCATCTAGCATCTAGCATCTGCAAGGTTCTGGAATCATCAAAATGATAAGAAATTTGGCCCATTCTTCGTAAAGTTACAAGCACTATACACAGAAAGATGTATATGGGACTACCCTATATCTCTCACAGACCATGGGAGAAACAAATTTACCAAATATATGAATTAGTAGGCGGTTTCCCGACAAATTTTTTATCATCATGTATTAGTCAAAACATATTCTTTCACATGATTGGTAATGAGAGCTTCCATTTCATTTTTTGAAATTGGGGCATTTCCAATACTGGTCTTTACCTTTAAGCAAGCTGGGACAAGGCATAGACCAGTACTAGTGCACTAAAAGTGCAGTAATTTTGTTGAAATGTTATTTGGCTGCAACATTGTTTTTGTTAAACTGCTTGGCAGCAGTAACCAGAGGGAAATGAAATTCACTGAAAAGCAGAATATAAATAATATGCATGAATGGTAGCAGATGTTGTTGTGATGGACATATGGTTAGATAGATGACTTCATGTAGCTTGACTTCCTATTCTTTCTGTGATCATCACTTTAGGCAGATATCACTCCTGAACATTAGTGTGAGTTTGATGCAATTTTGTGAGATACATGTAAATAAAACCCAGTAGAAATGTGAGTCAAATAAATATGGAACTATGACTAACTAAAACCTCTCTCACCCCCCCCCCTCCCCTGCCACTTCTTCCCCCCCCCCCCCTCTCTCTTTCTCTCTCTCTCACTCTGTGTTGCTCTCTCTCTCTCTCTCTCTGTCTCACTCTCTGTTGTTCTCTCTCTCTTTCTCTCACTCTCTCTCACTCTCTGTTGCTCTCTCTCCCTCTCTCTTTCTCTCTCACTCTCTTTCTTTCTCACTCTCTCTTTCTCTCTCACTCTCTCTCACTCTCCCTCTCTCTCGCTCTCTCCCTCTCTCTCTCTCTCTCTCTCTCTCCCTCTCTCTCTCTCTCTATCTCTCTTTCCTTGTACAGAGTATGAATGGCAATGCCACTAAGAAGTTCCTCATCGATGGTTTCCCAAGAAACGAAGACAACCTGACTGGATGGAACAACAAGATGGAGGACAAAGTGGACTTCAAATTCGTTTTATTCTTTGATTGTTCACAAGATGTAAGTTTAAATCCCCAATACCAGTATAAAATAGCCAGTTATGAATTTTGATTTGTCTGATCATAAAAGAGAAGCATCTCAGGTTGAAAGTGACATTGAACTCTTCTGAATTGAATGCTTTTGAATCCTTCAGAAGAAGAGAAGGAATGCCCTGTCCAACATAACGTTACTTTTGAGAAAAGGGTATGTTTAGTGTCTTGGTCGACTCATGGCTGGCAAGGTATTGTGCAGAGGGACATAAGGATGATATGATCTTGTTATAAATTCTATGTATGTATCATCCGAACTTGGCACACTAGTTAAGCACAAGAGTATGTCCAAGTATCAATGCAGCAGCTTAATATTGTATTTGTAGAGTTGTGGGAGATGAAATTGAGGCAACAGCCTGGGACGTAAAGAGCTGAAAAGTGCTGCAATATACTTCAGATCAGACAAAACATAGATCTACAAAACACTGTCAAAAATATCATTTTACATTATGGAGGGGTACTCCCCCCTCCCCCCCCCCCCCCCCCCCCCCCCATCCCCCATCCATCTCACCACCACCATCTTGATATTAAGGGAGCACCAAAGTGACCGGGGGGTGTTTCATAAAGCTGTTCGTAAGGTTACGCTTAACTTTACGAACGACTTGTATATGAATTGTCAGATAGGATCCCCAAAGTTTTTCCCTGATATTTCCAATAACCTCAATTAAATAATATGGCAAAAAATATACTTTGCATTAAAAATGTTTGTTATAATAAGAATGTTAATCTACATCTGCACAGTTCAACTTTAGTTGATGTATTTGATAACGATTGAGCATCCCATTTGGCTTTTCATATACAAGTCGTTCGTAAAGTCATGCGTTAATTTACGAACAGCTTTATGAAACACCCCCCTGGTCAGTTTAGGGTTGATAGACATGCAATATTACTATATAGGAGATGCATAATGCTAATTGTGTGTGACTTATTAACAACTATTTGATTTTCCTGTGTTTTATTATCCAGACCTGTGTTGAGAGGATTTTAGAAAGGGGGAAGACAAGTGGACGGTCAGATGATAATGTGGAAAGTCTTAAAAAGAGGTAACAGAAATTCAATCAGCAGGGCCTCATTAAAAAAACCTTGTACAATGAATTTTCATTGTTACATTATTGAAGTATAGTACAAATGTTACATTGTAGAACAGTGGGTGATAGATGTTACATTATTGTTGTTGGGTATCAACATTCTGATGTATGTGGAGACTTTTGCGAAACCACAGTTTTGTGGTAGAAATTTTCCAGAGCTTCTATGGTAAAAGCTCAAGCATCCATTTTCCTTTGGTACTCAATACCTTGCTGCAGTGGCAAAGTAACATGTATGCGTGAGGTCTTATCAAAGGAAGTTACAGCCACAGGATATATTCTCACTCTTTCCAGTTTATCTGTAGTACAGTAACCTTTAGACGTGTGCTTCTTTTGTTGCCAGACCCTATCTGTTACTCCTTGTAGGTGCTGTTAAACCCAAACTGCACTCATTGGTTAGTACCATGGCATTCTGCTGTGTAGCCGCACATAGATTGAGCTCGGCTTTTGCTTATATTTGTTTATTTGTTCTCCAGACTCCACCCCCTTTAAAAAAAAAAAAAAAAAAAAAAAAAAAATTCCCATGGGGTCACAAGCCTTGGGCAAAGAACCACTTCTCTAGAAAAAGACACCATCATTCTAATGATTTATTTGTTGTAAAGGAGTTTGAGCATTTTGTTCAGTTCCAAATATTAATGGCATCTACCTGTAGGCTTTTCTACTTTATCGTTTGTTTTTTTCTCTCTCTCATTTTTTCATTACTTTTGGCTAGTAGTAGTATATCTGTAGTTATGTTGACCATTTGTCACCTTTTCATTTTGTAATATCTTAGTTCTGTTGAATTGTAATTAATGACCATATTCTTGAAATGTGTATGGTTTGTAGATCTGTGCGCCAAGGGTGCCTACAGTATATGTCGGCAGAGTTGAGCGCAATATAAGTGTAGAATTATTATTATTATTCATTTGACTTTAATCAACGTACTTATGTTTGACTTTGTTTACAGGTTTATGACGTACGTGAATTCCACCAAACCAATCATTGACCATTATGATGCTCAGGGTAAGGTGCAGAAGATCTCAGCAGAAGCAGATCCAGATAGTGTAAGTAATCATTCCAAAGCTTTTTCATAGATTTAACTCTCCCTTTGGGGGGGGGGGGGGTGGTATGATGCCCCCTTTTAAATCTTCACATCAAATTGAAGGATTACTGCGAACAAGACGGTATCATAAGCTTTGTCGAAATTTGCTAGTGTTATAAAGTCTATTAATTATTGAAAAGTTTGTTGATAAAGCATTTCATTAATGATTGAACAATTTTTTTTTTTAATGTGTCTGTGTGTCAATGATTTCATAGATCAGTTTTTGTGTGTGTGCAGTGTTTCCAAAAACCAATATATTACATGAATTTATGCAATTCATCTGAAAAACAGATTACTTTCAGGCAACTAAACACTATACGTGTCTTAAATGAGAAATTCTTTCAAATGGAAACAAGCAAGAATGATCATGGTCAATTTCCTCCTCTCCCAAGAAATTAACCTTCTCTCTAAAACTTTGATATAATTTAACCTACCGGTATTGTCTTTTACCCTATTCTCTAGCCATTTATTTATTTGTTCTCTTGCTTTCTTCTATTATCAGGTATTTGGAGTCGTGGCAAAAGTTTTGCAAGAAGCAGGGCTTTGAGATGCATCTTTCCTTTCCACTGATCACATCAAAGCTTCATATCAAACAGCAGGGAGAAATAAATCAAGCAATTACATCCATCTACATTCATGTTGGCTCAAAACCTCCAATAAAGCCTTGTTCTAGCATGATGTGTTAAACCACCTCAAGCAAACCTCTGTGGCAAATTAAGGAAGTTGATACATGGAAGGAAATTAATGTTTAGTAGAGGTGAAAAGATTACCTGTGCATTCATACCCAGTGATCTGTACGTTATAGTGCAGAGATGTGAAAGTTACCAGGAATGTCACTTTATTGTGTTATAGTGGGTCATTGCAATTTGAATCCAAACGAACAAAATTTGACCTTGAGAAAATGTTAATAATGATAATGGTAATTATAAGAAGGGTAACTCATGACATGCACTTCCTCATAACTGACCGTTACTTTCACCATTAATCATAAGTTCTAAATTCTGTAAAGATTTTCCAATGTATTTAGTACAACTCTGACTTTACTACTACTGCTGTTTAACTTTGACCCTAAATTGAATTATGTAATGCCTCCTTATGAATTGCATTCAGTGATTGAAACATTCTTTACTTTTTTATCGTACTTGGAATAATCTCAGATATATATTTGTGTAAATTTTCATAACTATTTATTCCATTGTATGTGAATGTGCAGCTTCGTGTATTGATAGGTACAAGACCGGTGCAGAATAATGTCAGATCTTCAGTTCTACATTGTATTCGTTTTTTTATGAATTTTAATGTAATTTATTATTAAAGAAACGATTGATATTATAACATCAAAGAATAGCAGTGAATAAAGACATACAGGGGTTTCTGTTTTGCATAAATAGCTGTTTACTCTGATGGGTGTCAGATGAAAAGTTACAGTATATCTTTATTTGCTGCTACAGTATTCTTTGATAATGTATTGTTCTTTTGCGTATGGTCGTTATATTTTTCAAGTAGGTTTATTTTTCTCTAAAATAGAATGTGTAAAAATATGTGTTTCAACCTATATGGTATGCTTTATGTTAGATAATGTGATGCGATGAGATTCAGTCAAGAGCTACAATACCTATATATCATCAAAAGTTAATTGACAGAAAAAAACAGCATTTCAGACATTTCAGTTTACCCTAACAGTAAATCCAATTCCAACACCCAGTATGGGATTTTATATGTGGGTGCGATTTATACCACAGTGATCATACAGGGTCCCTTTTAAGCTTCCAAGTACCGGTATGTTTGATCAGTCATGCAGTCCCGTATTGTTTGACTGCTGCTTATCTAGTATCTTTAGTCTATTCCAAAGAAGGTGAAAATAGAAATTGATTTCCAGAATACAATGATTCTCAAACCTTGTCTCAGATTATTGTCTATGGGCTATGTAATATAGCCCTAATGCTTTTATTGAACAAAATATTGTGAACGTTAATAATAGTCGTGAACAGTGATCTATTCTAGCTAACGTGCAAGATCCGTCCAGATTATTGGCGCAGAGATTTGTGAACACTTATCTAGCTTTCAAACATCCTAGAGGTAATGATTTAGAGGACCAAAGCATTTAACAACATTCAAACCTGCTATAGTCACCACTTGTTTAGAAAGACCACCTGCATCGACATATAGCAGAATTTCATCCCAAAGATCTGTTATATACCGGTAACAAAATAATGTTGCTGGTACCAGCCCTTGTTTTTACCCAAGCATAACAAGATGCTTGATATATGAAGGTAATATTGATGGTCCCTGTATTTATATTTATTACTCTTTGACTTGGTATTTCTCAGTCACAAGTTGGTGTAAGCATCAAGTGTGCAATGTACAAAGGAGAACCTGACATAGCAGCAAGAGGACCAACACCCCTCGTAAAACCAAATCACTTGGTGCGCCTCTAGATATGTTTTAAGAGGCACACTTGTATACCCTTGTAAAGAGTATTTGAAAATCTTTGAATGGTTAAAAAAAAAAGTCAGAAATTTATGCATACTAGCCTAATGCATACATGATGTATATTTATGAAGGTGAAATCATAAATGTTGAATATTCAGACTTTGATATAGTAATAGGTTGAGTTTTATTTTCATACAAGTATGGCGGTATAAAGATGACCAAATTATTATCCATTTCATGTGCATGCACACAGGTACATAAATGGAAGAAGTATACTTAGTGTATGTTAAAATGCTGTGTAAATGTATAGCCCAGAATTGTCTGGTAGAATGCAATTTAGTGTTGCAGTAAATTCTGTTCACAGGTATGGTCATCCTCATGTGCACAAGTTGAACTATTTTTCTTTTAGTTCCATAGACTGTCTTTAATACATGAGGTTGATTGTATTGAACATGTGTATCCACATACAATGTATGAGTGCCTCTTTATGTATCTATGAAGACCATATCACAAGTAATGATGTGCAGTCAACCTGTTGTAGTGGGTTACCTGTCTATAAGGGCCACCTGTCTATAAAGGCCACCTGTCTATAAGAGTCACCTGTCTATAAGGGCCACCTGTCTATAAAGGCCACCTGTCTATAAGGGCCACCTGTCTATAAAGGCCACCTGTCTATAAGGGCCACCTGTCTATAAGGGCCACCTGTTTATATAGGCCACCTGTCTATAAGGGCCACCTGTCTATAAAGGCCACCTGTCTATAAGGGCCACCTGTCTGTAAAGGCCACCTGTCTATAAGGGCCACCTGTCTATAAGGGCCACCTGTTTATAGCTGCCATCTGTCTATAAGGGCCACTCCTATTGTCTCTCTTCAGACAGGAATGTACGTTATGCCACCTAGTATATGTGTGCGTGTGTGATTAACAAGCAGCTAGGACTATTCCTACTTGATAGAAATATCATTTTGTTTCCCTTCAGAGAAAGGGGGACTCTATTTAATAAACTAATATCCCTGAAAGAGAAAACTAAGAAGTACTTCTGTGAACTACTTATATTGCTATTAAGTACATGTATGTTGCTCGCTGCAGGTTGGCTAGGCTGTGTGTTGCATATGTTGTACATATGCGTAAGTCGAATTTCTATGACTTACTCACAAGTCGAAGATTGCCTAAGTCGACGCATTTCACTCAGTCCCGTCAAGATTGACTTACGCAAGCTTATCTGTACTTTTCTATTCTTGGTCTGTTATTTTGATTGAATTGATTCTATAGAGAACAAAGTAATTTTAATTGGCAGTAATATCCTTTTCATTGTGAGTATTATGTCTATCAAAATCAAACATACATTACATGTACTTCACCCACATGTAGTAGTAAATATCAAATACATGTATGTGATTTATTTTTGTAGTTTGTAACTTTGTGCACAGTTGCTGATTTGAAGTCGTTAGTGTACCTATCTACATGCATATCAACACATGATTTGTATAAATAAAGAAAATTGATGATATCAAATTATTTGAGTTTCTTTTTTTTTTTCTTCTTCCATTTGTCCCGAGTGCTTTCAATCCAGGAGGTGTTTCACAAAGATTTTAAGTTGAATATTAACTCTAAGTTGGACTTAAACATTATGGAGAGCCATTTGTAGCCTTTAAAAAAAAAATATATACAAAAAAGCAAAAGTTCAACTATTTCAGACTTTTCATAAATTTTACATCAAGAACATGAAATCTTCTTGGTAATTCAAAATATGAATGATTTGAATCAACATGTTATGCTTTTTAATATAACTTTCACAAAATATTTTCAAATATGCTAACGGCTTTCCACAATTGTTAAGTCCAACTTAGATGTGTGAAACACCCCCCTGGCCACGTCGTACCAAAAGACGTTAAAAGATGAGAGTTGTTGCTACCTTGTTTGGCGTTCAACAATAAGGGATAGAGCAACGTCGATCTGGCGCTGCTCAGTGGCTGCCGGGCTCACGATCAATTGGGCAAAAAGAATTTCCGTTTTGGTTTAATAAAATTTGGAGTGGACTATTAGGCTATTATTATTATTATTATTATTATTATTATTATTATTATTATTATTATTACTACTTCTGAGTCAATAAAGGTAATACAAAGTTTTGGGAAATTTTGAAAATTGGCTGGATAGTGATTCTTTACAATTATGATATATTTGGATGCCCCTGTGGCTGGACAAAAAGCAATTAAAAAATTAGACCCCTAAAACACTTCTGCTTTCGAGAAAAATTTAATATAAAAATTTACCGGTGCTCCCAGTAAATTTGGATAAATTTCAAATAGCGGCTACGGCAATACAATGGTAGCTGCGAGCCTGAAAATCTCAGAATATGTAGTTGTGATATATAACTTCCAAACAGGAAAAGCGAATTGGTCGATTTTAGTCAAGTAACATTGCTTTATAATATCTTGACCTTGAAAGGGAGCTATACAACATAAAAGTGTATTATTTACAATTTCATCACTTTAAACTCGATTTCAACCGCGAGAATGATCACTGAATATTGTAGGATCGCATTTGCTTCCAATATGTTCATTTGAACCAAATTCATTCGAACCAAATTCATGACCCCATATACCAAAAATTTGTATTACCTTTAAAGTGATACCGTGAACGGGTAAACTTTCAGCCCTAGCGTATCGTTTATTGCACAGCACCATCTCGTGGTCAACTTGCCAACAGTGAGTAAACCAGTACATTATTTCCACTTTGCAAAGGACTCTACACAATTACATCAAAGTCATTATCACCATCACCATCATCATCATCAACATCATCATCATCAACATCATCATCATCATCATCATCATCATCATCATCACCATCACCACCACCATCATCATCACCATCATCTTCATCATCATCCCCACCATCATCATCATCACCATCATCATCACCACCACCACCATCATCATCATCACCATCACCACCACCATCATCATCATCACCATCATCATCATCAACATCATCATCACCACCACCACCATCATCATCATCACCATCACCATCATCATCATCATCATCATCATCACCATCATCATCATCACCACCACCACCATCATCATCACCATCACCACCTCCATCATCATCACCACCATCATCATCAACATCATTATCATCACCATCACCACCTCCATCATCGACACCATCATCATCATCATCATCATCATCAACATCATCATCATCACCACCACCACCATCATCATCACCATCACCACCTCCATCATCATCACCATCATCATCACCATCATCATCATCATCACCACCACCATCATCGACACCATCAAGAAACACAAGTCATGATCAAAACAAAACTTATCATAGCAATGATGGCAACGACAGACAAAATCAGAACATAACTGTATACGCTACCACGAGCATGCTCCTCACTTTCATCTTTCAAATACTCACGTGTGTAATAAAAGCAACATGGAAAATTCTCTGTTGGCATATCTTTATTTATTCGCATTTTGTTAAGATAAAAGAAGTTTCCACATATAAAGTCCCTGGTAAATCATCCAAATATTAGAAATCTGTCCAAATTACCAAATCAGCATGATATAACCGAGGCATGTGCCCCCCCCCCCCCCCAACCCTGATTAAAAGTGTGAGTTTCTTTTTAACACTTTGTATATTTTGGTAAAACAAAAATCAAAGACGTAAGAATTAAGAAATCAGAATTTCATAGCGCCTTTTCCAGGGGATATCAGATGAAGAAAGTTTAAGGAAAAGATCAAAAGGATGTAGAAGTTATAAAGTTTCTAAGTTGGGGACAATTAAACATTCATCAGCTAACTACGGTACATGTATATAATTTACTGTGCAACTATCTCTCTCCTGATGGTTGTGTTTACCAAAAATTTCTTTAATTTCTAAATGTGTTTGCACCAATCTGCCGGGCTTAAAGTTAAAACTAATTACAATTCTCTCTACCACATATTGCTGAGATTTAGTCAACGTACTTGGCGCTCTATTTTTACTACCAAATTCACAGGGATTTTGCAGTCACATGTAGTTTTGCCTAAATCTCTAATGATGTCAATTTATGAAAAATGCAGACCTACAATTGTCTACATATATGTGATCTAGCTGTATATTACAGAAAATTCTTAAAAATTACTGACATGGCTTGGGAAAAGAAGCCACTTGTGTTGCAGCATGCCCAGCTTTTCCCAAGAGAATTTCTCTGAGCGCTGGTGTATGCAAATGCTGGTAAATTACTTTTAATTTATCAATATACTTACTGCTTGTGTATTTTCTAAAATTTGTAACTATCAAGCACAATTAAGAATCGCAGATAATGAATTATTAGAAAAGCATAGTATAGCAGAAAACATGTTTTAGGATCACCAAAAGTTAGTGTCTACAAAATCACTGAGGTATCGGAGGTGCAGTGCATAATGGGAATGTATATTGCTATATGCAGTAGGGAGAATTGACAACAACCTCCTCCCCTTCCCCTACCACACAAAAAAAAGAAATCAAGGGCTCCATCTTATAAACAGTCAAGATTTATCCAAACTGATCTTAACTTGATGTCAATTCAAAACTCTTTACTAAACAGGTCCCACATCTCTTTTACAGCAGGAGAACCATATGTAATTAAATGGTTGCTGATGGTCCTCGATCCGTGGTAGGGTGTGTGTGGCAATGGTCCAGAGCGTGTGTAGAGGAGGTGGGTGCGGGGGGCTGGAGTGGGGGGATAGTAGATAGTAGGTTGAGAATTGTTGAGAAGAATGTTCTTCAGGGGAAGTTGCATCTGATCTAAACTCGCTGTTTGTACATGTATCAACAAACTCTGTTAATTCTCTGTGTGAGATGATGTAATCCAATGTAAAAACAGTCTGCTAGACATACGCCTCCCAGTCAGTTCCACCGAGCCACAATATTTCATAAATAAAATGAAACCTGTATATAAAGACCGTTGAAGGGAGACAACTAAGATGTCTTTATAAACAGGTGGTCTTTATGCACAGGTTCCTATTGTACACATTTCTACGAGACACAGTATTCATGGAAAACAGAAAATGTGGTCTCTATAGACAGCTGATCTTTCTATACAGGTGGTCGCTACAGCAAGTTGGCTGTACAATATTGAGTTCCTTCTCTCTCAATGGACGCAACAGTTCTTGGTACTGAACTTTCCGTCTTCATCACTTCCTGAAGAACGTCATCTTTTCAGCTCCTTTAGCATCCTCTGGTTTGATGGTATGGAACACCTCATCCAGGGTGTCCATCTTGTATGTATCTGTCTCCTTCCTCTCCATCTGACCCATCCGTGCTTCAACCCTGTTCTGGTATTTCAACGATGCTTGCTTCTTTATCAGTGTACGATGCTGCAAGAGAGATGTACAAAGATTGATAATTAATTACAATAATAATAATAATAATAATAATACATGAGATTTGTATAGCCCCATTATCTAAACTAATTAAATGCTTGAGGGGACACTAGTGCAAAAAGATGAAAACACAGAAAAGAACTATATACAAAAGTACAACAGGAGTAGGATAGAACCAAAAAAAAAGTGAAACAATTATAGGCAAAATAAAGCAGAAATGTTTATACATGTATATGATTGTTGACAAACTGTTCTTCAACTGAATGCTAAATATGTAGTGAGGGATAGACTACCCATAGAGCAAACAAACAAACAATTACACCGTACGAAAAAAAAAAAAAAAAAAGGAGAAAAAAGATTTTGCTGTACCTGGTTTGGTGAGACATAATTGGGGTTTTCATAGAGAGTAGGTCCACGGAAGCTTCCACTGAAGATCTTGATGAGATTGAGAACTAAACGAGGACCAATCTCTGCCAGGGATCCATCCTCCTCTACTATCTGGGGATTTGGGAAGAAGAAAAAAAATGGAATTAAAGATTGTATTTTAGTATAAAGACTTTCTCCTTTTTTCAACCAGATTGACCTTTCTTTTTACCATGGTAGCTTCATCAGTCGCTGCAACACTGTTTTACCAGAAGACAACAATATAGTACCAAGTAGCAAGCTTTTTCATAGTACATGCCATTATTTTGCCATAGATCCTAATTGCCCACCTTCAACAGCAAAACTTTGCACTATCTCAATGTTTTTAATACATCTGTAAAGCACTTAGAGACATCATTGAATATAGAAATATAAACAATATAAAAGCGGAAAATTATTTGTAAAAACTAGGAACAAATTGTACACATTTACACCAAAACCTTCTTTTTTCAATTTTCAAAGCTATACAAAAGGGCTGTGTATGTTCAATTTGGTTTCATTCTAAAGAAGATTTTGAAAGACCCATCCCTGTTTATAATACGTCAAACTACTGCAACAAAGAAGATAAAATAAGAGAAAAATCATAGTTAATAAACATCAAGCTAAAAAGACAAACCTGATAGTTTCTGAACCATATCCGGTTGTCCAGAATAGTGAATGTGTAGACATTGTCATTAAATGGCTGGCTCTTAGGATGGAGATAGGGAGTACTGAATATCTGAAATAGAAAATAAACATGTACTAAGGCAATCAATTATCTTCTTTATGAAACAGGTACAGGTACAGTTATTGCAAGCTATTTTTCACAGAAAGAATTGAAACGCAGACTGTATAAACTCTTCATTTGCGAGGTCCATTATAACAATTGTTTATCAAATGGTACAGGAGCTACATGTACATATTAATACATATGTCACGCCATTCAAAAAGTGGTTCAATTCAGAATCACATGTATACACTTTTAGGTAGTCACATTATACAGAGCTGCCAACCCTAACTGAACATCCTATTTTGGTTGATAAGTACTGTCTTTTTGTTAGACTATGTTTGACGACATTTTGAAGAATTATGCATGAGTACATTTTACAAACGTTTTGTTGAATATGTAAGAGTTTGTCATGAATTATCACTCAATGAACCAATGAGCGGCGTTGTAAATGTATTTTTAAGGACCATTGGTTGAATATGCATGATTTCGTCATGACTGGTGGTGTTGAATGAACCAATGAACATCCTCAAATTGCCAATTTGAGATGCTTGTAGGATACTTTACAGGACAGAATGGGCAATTTTCTATTGATAATGGCACATGCTCAAGCACATTCAAATTTTCAGAAAATCTTCTTTTTTTTGTTGAAAATCGTACCGTCATATTTACTTCGAAAAATTGTACGAAATACGATAAAATCGTACTGGTTGGCAGCTCTGCATTATACATGACAGAACAGGAAATGGGATCAGATAGCTGGTACAGGTCAAATATCATACATCCAAGGATTTGTTACACTTTAATCTAAAAGCCAGTGGCTCAGCGCATGACGTCTACTCACTTGAATGAACAATTCTTTGAGGACACCGAAATGAGGAGACTCATCAAACTGGGGGTCAAAGGATAAGAGAGGTCGTGACCCCTTCAGGCAATTCCCTGTCAGCTTCATCTCTGCCATTGTGTGAACTACAGAGATAAGGAATGAGATGATTATTTTGATTTGATTTGATTTGATTTATTGGTTTCTGCATCTTTTTTCTTTTTTTCATCATACGTTTTCATGAACATATAGGCCCGAATTCACATAGGAAGGTTTGTCGACAAACCAGGTTTTCGTACGTCATATGACGAGTTTCGACGCGGTTTTTACAAACCTGGTTTGTAAAAACGTGTCGAAATGCGTCATATGACGCACGAAAACCATGGTTTGTCGGCAAACCTCCTTTGTGAATTCGGGCCAATATATGGTTTGATACAATATTTTAGGTGTATATAATATTAAACAAATATATTGAATGCATAATTAACATACATTAGACGCAGGAGGGCTACAGAAATAAGCAAAGTAGCTTGACGTGCCCTCAGCCCTCAACTTAGATACAACATTAACATTATAAAGCAGACCATTGCAATACAAACAGACAAAGGTTCTCTTTAAAAAAAAACAGTGCTTTTGAACCGGCTATTATGACCTCCCAACAACTTTTAATATAAAGTGATTCCACATTTTCTTTTTCATTTATCATCGATGGCACACAACAACACTTTTAGATTTCAAGAGTACTATGATTTATTAAAAACTAAAACTAAAGATCAGAGATTGGGGAGAAAATGTGTGATTTATAGGGAAACACATATTTTGTCTCATTCAGCTCTTCAAACATTGTTGTTTTACCTTTGGCTACTGGTCATTTGAAGTGAAAAGGTAATACACAAGAGCGTCATGCACTTTAGCTATTTATGAATTGCTAGATACTAGAGATTATGAAGACAGATCATGTGAAAGACTTACTGTTTTCTACGAGAAACTTTGCAGATGGTCCATGAGGAATGTTAGCTGCCCTGTTAAATATAAATTCCATAAAGCAGTAAGAAATGATAATACTTTCATAGTGTGAATAAGAAATTATTTATTGTGAGAATGGAGAAGAACAATACCAACATGCCATAGAGCAGGATCGTTTCAAAGACATTCATCTTCACCTTCTTGTTAATCAGGAGAAAAGACAGGATAAATCAGCTCTGTCTCCGCAAATTGGTAACTCTTCTACATTTAATTTACCTTTACTATTCTCACGACAAAACAACACATAATAGACTAACATTCTGCTTGTTTCTTTTAAGAGAGTAAAAACACTGTGTACTCATACTGCGTCATACCAAAAGACGCTAAAAGATGGGATTTGTTGCTACCTTGTTTGGCGTTCAACAATAAGGGATAGAGCAACGTCGATCTGGCGCTGATCAGTGGCTGCCGGACTCACGATCAAATGGGCAAAAAGAATTTCTGTTTCTGTTAAATAAAATTTGGAGTGGACTATTAGGCTATTATTATTATTACTATTACTCAAATAAATGATCATTTATTGTGACCTATTCACTAGACCACAGCAACTTTAAAAAGTTAAAAACCATGATTGGTCAATCAAAGTATCTGGCATATTATATAGACCTTTTGATTGAATTGTAACAATAAATGGATGTACCGGTATTCAACAAATCAAACTTCATTCCAATTTTCTTTTTTCTTCTCTCTACCAGAATGAAACATGACCTAAATTGTGTAGCTTTATTATAAAGCAAGTTTAAACAATTGGCTTAGGGTAGATCATTGTGACTTACCACAGATACAGATCCATCTTCTTTCTTGCTTCAAAGAACAAACATTTGTTGCAGTTTCTCATTTCACAGACCTACACCCCATCATTGAAAATAATATCAAGAGTTGATTAAATTGATAAAAGCAAGTTCTCTTCAAGTAATATCATACTTTCACTGAACTGTTTCTTTAATTTTACTATTTTTATCAAAGCAAAATATGCCCTCAGGATAGACTTCCCTTAAATCCCCACTGCATTACTTATAGCTACTTGCGCCCTCTATACAGCTATGCCTAAGCGGTAACCGATGATCCCCCATGATGCCCTTTTTCTTATGTTAATTGAGAGCCGATTTGATGAGATAACCACCTACCAGTGACCTCACAGGGAGGTCTAATTCCTCCTGGCCAAGCTAGTGCAGATAGGCTTTAATACCTTCAGAAAAGGCAAAATGATGATCATTCTAGGCCTTGTTTCTTCAAGTTCTATAACAATTGTGCTCACACCAGACAAAATACAATGACCTCAAGATTATAGGACTAATTTTAACTTGAACAAACTTCATGAAACATTGTCTATGTCTTAATATTCTCTTCATGGTTGTATGTTACTTGTCCTTTCAAGTGGTTTACATCAACTATCTAAACATATCATTATCATCTTTGAAATTAATGGTGCTGGAGCAAAACTTTATACTAACCTCATTGATAAGGAAGAAATTGTCTTTTCGGTCCATTTTCGAATCTGTAGATGAAAGGAAATGAAATAATCAATTCAAAGAGTATCTCGTAAGAGTGGTAACAACGATAATAATAACAATATTCTGGGTTAATATAGCACTTAATACATCAATGATGTCTCTTAGCACTTTACATGTTTATATGTTATTACACTGGTCATCATATTCAGCCTTGTCCCCGCACAATGTATGCACATTCTCCACTCCATAGGGAGCATTCCTGCCAGGGACCATTATACCATTGCTCACATTGTTGAGCAAACTACAATGTTCCCATTTTAACACCTCGGTGAGGCCTAACAAATAAAAGATGTTGTATTGCCCTTTAGGTGCCAAAACTTGGGTCGGTTGGTCAGAAATATATTTATTTTGTTTACTCCCTCTTTGGGCTAATATTTCTCAGTTTTGAATGCTTCATTACATTTTTTTTCTAAAAAAATAAAAAGCGGACCATAGATTTCAAGATTTTTGGGTCGGTCGCAAAGGGCAATACAACATCTTTTTTTTTGGGGGGGGGGGGGGGGGGGGGGGGGTGATTAATGTCTTTGCCAAATGACTGTGATTGAGTGTCAAGGGCATCTAACCAAACCATCCACAATCATCCTGGCATTTACCTGCTCTGGAATGAGGCATCAGAGTGCGGAGATCATTCATGAGATGACGCCCTCTATAGGATACTCCTCTAGATGCAAAAATCAGTGTCCTTTCTTTGTTTGTCCATCTGGCCTGGAAGCAAGAAAGGAAAGAAAAAAACATGCGATGTTATTTATACTAGAAATAATGTTGGCCCACCCTTTTCAACTTCTTTTTGGTTTCCCTCTGCAAACCTAACAATAAGTTGTCCAAATACAAATGGACTACAAAGAATGCTGAAATAATTACATACATGTGTGCCATGCCAAAAGTGCATCAAAATTCAAGCAAGAATAGTGTTATTTTCACAAGGCCAAGGTAAGGCAGCAACGTTCTTTTGAGATTGCAAAAAAAAAGATTTCTGGGTCTGCGTAATTTTTAACTTTACATGATCAGGATTTTTGTCATGAAAGAATTAAAGCATCTTGAGGCTTGAGCCAATGAAATTACTAAAAAAGTAAAAGCAGACTTTTCTTCTTCTTTCATTCCTCCTCCACCGTTTCTTTTTTTTTTCATTTTCACAAGTTCTACTTCTTCTTTGTTCTTGTTTTTTTTCTTCTTTCTATTCTATTATATTGTTTCTATTCTTCGACTAATTTGTTTTCTTACTTTACTTACTTACTTTACTTTACTTTAATACACGATGTTGTAGACTCTAGGTCTAAGCCTGTTCATTGATCCAGGATTCTTCTTAAGAAAATAAGAAGTTATTAAGTTCTTCTTGGATTTTTTAATGTTCTTCTTTCTCCTCTTTCTTGTTTTTCTTCTTTTCATTCCATTCTTCTTTTTCTATGCCTCTAGTGAAGTTATCTGCAACATGTCCATGCATTTGGCTCATGATGATATGGATGATGATTGAAGTTCATCTTCACATGATCACAATCAACACCAAAGAAGACGCCCAAGAAGGCAGCCGCAAAGAAACCCAAGACCGCCAAGCCCAAGAAGCCAGCGGCAAAGAAGGCCGCAAAGTCCAAGCGATCCGCACGCCAACTCTCCCATCCCACCAAAACGGCTCTTTTCAGAGCCACCACATACCTCCTCGCTTGGTTCCTTACGGAACGTTGAGGAGTACTCCCGAAGAAGAAGAACAATCATTCAAAGAACGAGAACCTCGCGTCGAACAACATTTCAAAACAACATCAACAACAACAGCACTAGACCGAAAGCTTCAGTCTCTATAATCGTCGGTTGTTCCACTGAGACTACGTCTGGCTCCACTAGACCTCCGGTTATAGAGACTGAACGACTGCCTATGCCAGCCTGTGTTGAACTTATTCCGCTAGATTTTAGCCGCTAGGCCCCTCCCACAAACTTGCCACGGCCGTATTGTTATGCCCCCCAAATCCCCCAAAATGTCATTTTACCTCGTTCATTTCCAATTTTAAATTAGGCCTAGGCTATAATACATCGGTTCCACTTACTAACTTTATTGATATAATCCGTTTAATGGTCCCTTTTAAGGAAATTATGTGCGCCATCTACACGTTCGTAATGGCGTTATCACAGTTTTTCCTTCATAATCATTTTGCCTTCGGCGTAGACTAGAAGGGATGAGATTGACGGCAGCGAGAGTTTAAACACGGCTTGCAAGATTTTCAACATGGATGTCGATTTTGACCGATAATTTCCTTAAAAGGGACCATTCAACGGATTATATCAATAAAGTTAGTAAGTGGAACCGATGTATTATAGCCTAGGCCTAATTTAAAATTGGAAATGAGCGAGGTAAAATGACATTTTGGGGGATTTTGGGGGCATAACAATACGGCCGTGGCAAGTTTGTGGGAGGGGCCTAGCGGTTAAAATCTAGCGGAATAAGTTCAACACAGGCTGGCATAGGCAGTCGTTCAGTCTCTATAACCGGAGGTCTAGTGGAGCCAGACGTAGTCTCAGTGGAACAACCGACGATTATCATGATTATAGAGACTGAAGCTTTCGGTCTACAACAGCACCTGCTAATGCATTAGTAATAGTCTAGGCCTACACTTGTAATATTTCTTAGTCTATGCCAAGCTCTTTCTTCTCATTCAGAAGGCATGGTATAATTACGAGTGATTATTGAGTTTCTAGATAAAAAATAATGCAAAATACACTGAAGTTCTACAGGTTAAAGGTATAGTTGAGTATTGGTAATTTCCAAAGTGCCCCTCCAAAACAAATTTGGTTTATTTCAGTACCATATGAAAGATCATCGAAAAAAACATGGGAGATGATAATAATTCCAAATCAAATGCTCTAATTGTTGTGCAATTTGCTTTCAAAACATTATATAAAAGTGTTTGACGTCCGGACATCACTTTTGACTTTCGACGGTTTATTTTTTGAATTTACGTGTTTAGCTCCCTCTATGTCATTTAACAACCAGCGTATTTACAACGAGTGTTTGAGTTCGTTGGTACGTACAGTACTACAGGTAGCTAGCAGGCGGGTATCCGACCGCGCGCTAGTAATACAGTATACAGCTGATCAATTCCAATACGCTGCTTTCACGTAAAGTATAACACACTGCACACAGCTCATATCAGATTATCACCGGCGCCGATCGAACGCTAAATAGACAGCTACAGTCCAGACAAGCTTTGATTGAAATACGATAACGAGATCGAGATTGGAAAAGGAGCTCGAGGTCACGGACGATGGCCGACTCGGACTCAGCTAGTGCTAAGCCTAAGGACAAGGCTAAGGCTACGCTAAATCGGAATAAGACTAAGTAAGACGGTAAGAGGAAGGAGAGAAACAAGCAATGGCAGCTCGACCATCCGGCCCAGAGGAGGCGCGGGAGTGGCTGTGAACAAGGCCAGGGTACGGCGGAGAAACTTCGCGAGCTGCAGGCGGCCTTCTCGTTGCCGAGTCTAGAGGATGCAATAGACATGCCAGCTCACTGAGAGGTAAGTTGAAATGATATACGCCCCACTGCATTGGGTAGGCCTACCGTTTTAATTTGATCTAGTCTAGAGACTAGATGCATGGAATCGGCAAATTTAAGAAATTACGTTTTGTTATCTCTTGCCTTGGATTTTTAATTCAGATTTCATGAATCATATGATATTGATAGTCTAGCCTAGGTCTACAGTAGACCGAAAGCTTCAGTCTCTATATCGTCGGTTGTTCCACTGAGACTACGTCTGGCTCCACTAGACCTCCGGATGAATTTGGTTCAAATGAAAATATTGGAAGCATATGCGATCCTACAATATTCAGTGAATGTTGTCGCGTTGAAATCGAGTCTAAAGTGATGAAATTGTAAATAATAATCTCTTTATGGGGTATACTATAACTCTCTCTCAAGGTCAATATATTAATTCAGCTATACAACAAGCTACAATTGACCGATTGGCTATTACCTTTTTGAAATTATATATCACAACTACATATTCCGGGATTTTTATGGTAGCAGCTACCGTTGTACGACCGTAGGCGCTATTTTAAATTTATCAAAATTTACCGGGAGCACCGGTAAATTTTTATATTCAATTTTTTTCGAAAGCAGAAGTGTTTTAGGAGCTAAATTTTCTAGTGCTTATAATACTTCCACAGGGGCATCCAAATATATCAAAATTGTAAAGAATCACTATCCACCCAATTTTCAAAATTTCCCAAAACTTTGTAATAGACCCTACCTTTAATGTCCCTCGTTACAACTGCAGTTTTCTTTGTAATGATGACGTGCAGGGCTAGTCAACCGGGTAAACATCCTGCTCTTTTTAAAAGTCGACAAGGTTATACTATAGCTTGCTTGAGATGTGACTGTCTCATCTATATTTATCTCTACCAAAGAGTGTCTCAACTTCACATACATGACAGAGAACCAATGCATCAGTTATTAGTCATGCAAATTCCAAATCTGGCTAGCTGTGATAATTATTAGAGAATGCCATCTTCAAAATAATTTCTTTTGGTGATTTAAAATCTGAATGTTTTTTACTTTGTGAATGACTTTCGTTTCTTCACTTTTTACAGATATGAAGAACAGACAACACAATCCATCCCCAGCGAAGAAATTCCAAGCAGCAGTAGGGGAATTAGCAGGTGAATAGTACAAGTCACCTTTGACCGCAAATTCATGGAGAACTTGGCCTACTCTGCTGATTTGCTCGCTTCAGGTAGGATTCTGTATACATGTACGAAAGGCTCTGTAAATTGAGAGGAATTTAATGAGAATGCGTTCATTACGTACATGTTTGCAAGATTGAGCTCTTTTTCGGTTATGACCTATAAAATTGGGACATATCAGCAGGTCAAGATAATGCATCTTATTTGCTCATGTGTATGACATGGGATTTTCAATATTGATTTTGTGGTATGAAAATAATGAAATGCCCTATCATTTATATCAGTTTTTATTTTGTTTTCATAATTCCTTAGGCACACCAGCATGCTCGAGTGTGTTTCCACAACCATATACTGATGTATGCTTCCAAGCGGTATTCCTTTGAGTAAGTATTTTTAGTATCATTTTGTATGTTTGAAGTAAGATTGTGGAAAAGTTGAAACATATCATTACAGTACGGTTACAGTTACAATATCATATTTTGAAGCAAATAGCAAAGTTAATGAGAAATTATGAATGACATCTATATAAATGCTGAAATCACTTTTGGATGCATGCAGAGTCTTGAAACAGCAGACTTTGTATCGTACTTGTGTCGGTACCTGATGTTAAGTCAAGTTGGAGTGGTTGTAGCAGGGAAATGTAACTACCTTTAATTAAAAGTCAATAATTTACAACACAAATCCAGAACTGAAGTGAATGGCTCGTATTCACAAAGGAGGTTTGTACAAACCATGGTTTGGCCAAGGTTTACATCTATGGAATGCCATTTGTAAACTGATGGAGAAGGAATGTAAACTCCATACTTGTTAACAATGTTAATTTACAATTTACGGTATGCGAGCAGCATTCCATAGATGTAAACCATCGTCAAACCATGGTTTGTACAAACCTCCTACAAACCTCCTTTGTGACTACGGGCCAATGAGTCTGAGATTTGTCTAAAGCATTTACTATTCATTCATCATGGTAGTGGTAATACCAATTGTTTGTCTTATCCATCCAGCTACCCAGCAAACCGGGCAAGGAATTTGCTTGCGGTCATCGACTACATGGCACACAAGGACAGGCCCGACCAGATTGATGAACAAGGCAATACAAAGTGAGTGGAAATTAGAAAGAAAGAAAAAAAGGTTTTCTTTTCTTTCTTGTTTTTCCTATTTTTATTTGTACATTTTTTTTTAGATGGACAAGGCAATCCAAAGTGGGTGGAGTAAAAAAAAAAAACATGATTTTTTGTTTTCCCTGTGTAGTTGGACAGGGCAATCCGAATTGGCAGTTCTTTCCCATGAAATTTATCAATTTTGGGGAAATTATTAAATATCTAATTGTCCTTCCTGGGAACGCCCCTTTTAAATCGCCAAAATATGACGTCATCTAAAGAAGTTGTCCCTGTACACGACGCACATCTAAATTATGTAGATGACGGACTGTAAGCTGATGGTTTGTCAATCATGCTGCTGATTTTGGACCCTAAATGCGGACTTGGATTCAGTGTAATAATATACTTGGTGTGTAATGCAAGGTTCTGGAGTCATCAAAATCATCATAAATTTGGCAGAGTTTTGGTAAAGTAACAATCACTTACACAGAAAGATGTATATGGGACAACACACATGGTGTCGGCCTGTCGGGGCTAGTACTACCCTGATTTCCTTATCTTTCTATGCTCATTACTCAGCCAGTATACATTTTCTTCCAAAATTGTTTGGCACATGACATTTATTTGTAATCTTGAACATTCAGTGTAAGTTTCGTTAGATTCTGTGAGAATTTATTTTCTTTTTTTACCAGAACTCAAGTTTATCTTTAAGAGATATGAATCATTTCCAATTGACAAGAATGAGTGTGCATATAATGCAACTTGTTACATTTTGCATGTTCTTTTATTTTATGATACAGATATGTTGCAGTATGGTCAAAGCGTGCCAACAACTACGTGGCCCGGAAGGAGAAGGTCCCCAAGACCTACCCCTACATGTATGTACAAGGACTCATCGGTGCGATACTGGAACGCAGAGAACAGGACCAAGGACCACTGTTCTCGAAGGCTGTTCTGCTCCCTGATGACCCTAGACACACAAGGCCCCGGCTTGCACCATTTCCTCCACCACAAGTTGATGTGATCCTAGCCAGGAGACTAGGCCGATTAGAGAAATCCATGTAATCCTCTGTAGTGAACATTTGGGATTGTCTGACTTGAGAACTGCTTTTTTTCGAGCAGAGACTAAGGGATCCAAATGGCATCCTTCCGTCCATCCTCCGTGACTGTACACAAATTTGAATGAAGTCTAATGTGAAATCTTACCTGCAAAAATCAATTAGGGTTGCTAACTTTCCAACCCTGCATCTGTTTGTAACCATACTTGATTGGTAGATGCCCTTTATTGGCCTCCATGATATTCTGGAGTTGAAGGTCACATAAGTAGGTCAAAGGTCAAATGAGGTTCTTTGTTGCATGATTGCATGCAAGACTCTTAATCGCCTCGATTTAATTTGTCCATGTGGCATGTTTTTAGGCTATCTTGAGGATTGGTTGGAACTTAACATTTTGTGGTCCGGAGGTGAAAGATTGCATGGCTTAGCATTACGAGCATGTATTCTTGATATGTCAGAGACCCTTTGACAAAATACCACCAAACTTGATACTAGAGTGTCCCTGGGGATCATGGGGATGGGGTTATCTGGAGAAAAAAAATCACATAACACATGATATACATGTACCAGAAATAAATTGTTATTGTTGCTAGATTAGCCACCATGCTTGGCACTTGTATATTGTATTACAATAAGAGGTTGGCAAGTTTACAAATGGAAGAAATGTAGGAATATAAAAGACAAATTGTGACATCAGTGTATAAAAGCTCTATGTGATTTATACAATTCATAATTTGTGATAAAATCAGTGCTTGCTCATGTGGAAATGGTGGATATTTCAATTTGTATCTATTTGGCAACCTATATTCCTTGAAGAAGTTACGGTAGTAATTATAAAATTTACAGCCAAGAGGTCAAACCATGAGTCAACAATGTGTTTGGTTTTAGTGACTGTGCATGTAACTGAGGTGACAGTCGATCATGAAAAAGACTATACTTCGGAACCTGTTGAAAATCAACATGGACAGAAGAAAGATTTGTAGAATATCTTATTGTAAATAGTCTTCATTTTTTGTTTAATGCAATCAATGTGACTAAAATAATGCAAGCGAAAAAGAGAAATGATCACAAGACAGCAAAACAGTTGGTTTCATGCATCATTTGAATCAATGAACGTGAATCAGCTCAACGCCAAAGTATTGCGGTTCAAGGTTATACCATCAAGAGATATGCTGCCTGTAACTACTTTGTAGTTTGAAAGGGTGTATAAAGGAATAAGGATACAGTTGGGCAGGCGAGTCTTTCTGTTGGTCTATTGTAAAAAACTGGGTCAAATTTTTTCCAATTTTTTTGCAAATTGTAATAAAACTTGGTATACCGATTGACCCGAGGGTGTGCAAGACACATTTGTTGTGTCTGTCTGTTAAGGTACCTCCATGGTAACCAAGCTTTGCACAAAGAATACAATTTTGTTTTAATAATCTTGTGGAGCATATTCTTTCCAAGTTTTAGCAATTTTATAGTTTTGGTATCTTTGATGAGGCATTATAATAACAGTATAAAACTCAATGCATGTGCAGTGTGTAAAATAAGTATGTGAGCAAACTATTGGAAGTAGTTTGATCGATTCATATGAAACTCAGTACACACAACGCAGAATTGTCTTTTGTGTGCGTATAGGACATGACCAGTTTTGAAATGTCTGTGCTATTTTTTTGAAAAACCTTATGTTGGATGTTAATCACTTGAGGTGATATTCATAGTCGAGCATTAGGGAAGATGAAAGACATATATGTACCTAACTATACTTAATTTTGTGCTGAAACTGATATGATTCAGGATTTGAGATCGATATGGAGTATGTATACATGTATACTCGTACACATTAAGGAAAAGAATCACTCAGACAATTTTTAAAGCATTTATATATAAAGTAAGATGTGAAACTTAAAAGATAAAACCAGTTATGGTCATGCGACTGCATTGTGAAAGGATTGTTGTGGAATCGATCAGAAAAGGTTGATCATCTAGCATATAAGTCTTGGTGTGTACTGCAAGGTTCTAGAATCATCGAAATGATAAAAAAAATTGGCCCAGTCTTGGTAAAGTTACAAGCACTGTACACAGAAAGATGTATATGGGACTACGCACAAGTGCGCGACACATGCGTTATATCTATCAAGTCCAAATAGATATAATAATTTACCAAATATATCAATTAGTAGGCAGTTTCTCGGCAAAATTTGTATGATCACGTACTAGTCAAAACATTGTGTGCGGGCAAGCACTGAATCAAATGACCGGGGTAATAGTATATTTGTCAAGCGCGTAGAAACATTACTGTTATAGATACTTTTCTTTGGTAAACTTATCTACACATTGCCTATAGAGTATGTCAAGTTTTTATGAAAGACACAAGATAAGATGTATATAAATAAGCAGTAACTAATAAGTAACAAGACATGGTGGTATACAAATAAAGTATATTGCTCCTTCTTAATGACGACGGTTAAAGTTGTCATAGCGATAGATGCTAAATAAAAATGTGCCTTTTTTAATACACATGATCTGTTTGTATGCAATGGTTGAAATCAACATCACGTTTAAATATTGCCTTCAGTTCAGCAATTATAATTTGTATTCATCTCAATAATGTTGTGTAAATTTAACTGTTAGTTATGGCCGAATAAAGCTTTCAATGTACACCATAAAAATATGTTATGTATCTTCATTTTAGCATTACTATAATTATATTAAAATCTTATGTCTTTACACATTTACAAGTTATCACGTACTGACGTAGGTCATGCAATACACAGGCGCTGTAGAACACAACTTATTTACAAGAAGTTACAATCACTTTTTTTTTTAAACTTTACAATTGCATGCAGTACCAAAATAAGAATACTGAAAAACACTGCATTATGGACAAGTATGAATCAAGTAAGATGTTAAATTAATTCACTACTGTTATTCATTATAGTATACTGATACAACAATTTTTAATATTTTTTTTAATTTATTTCTTTTTATTTCTCCACTTTCCCTTTAGCCATGTACCTTCATGTTGTTATATATGTTAAAGGTGTCGCTCTGGACCTATAACATATGATAAGACAAAAAATCCACCAGTCATTTCTGATTTCTATCAAATTTTTAGATTTTGTGTTGTTGTTGTTGTTTGGTATTATCGGCGTTTCATTCTTTTTTAGAATATTTACGCCTTTCACTTTATTTCTTTTTTTTCTTCTATTTTTGGTACTATTTGTCAATTCATATTCATCTCTTTTTTTTGGATAATATAATCTCAGATCTACTGGTCCATGAAAACCCCTCACCGCAATTGGCACCTTCCTGCCAGACCGGCGCGGTACATTGCGCAATCTTCTCGGCCATCATTGGCCTAGGCAACTCTGGTGCCGGTGAGAGGATTCTGGGGTAGATCTTTTGAGTCTCTTGGGGTTTACCGTCCTCAATCCGTCTTTACTCTTTCTTACCTTTTCTCTTCTAGTATTTTTCCATTTTGTAAAACCTTATTTTTCTATCAAAGTGGGTATCAACATTTTAGGGCATTTGGTTGTCGTGCGATATGTGCCAAAAAAAAAATGTGGATTTAGTAATTCCTTTTTGAATGAAACATGGATTTAGCTTCTTTTGGAATTGAATGGATTTAGCTCCTTTTGGAATGAAACTGTAATAATGTTGTTTACTTTCCCGGTGGGGTCACTCAATGTGACTTCCGGACCGCATGACCGTTACCAAAATCGCGGAAAAAGGGGTCAATTTCAAGCAATGTCCGCGGACAAAATATTCCTCGAAATTAAGAAAATAGGGGGGCACATGTGTCCCCGAAATTGATAAATAGGGGTCAGGAAAAGGGAAAAGAGAAAACCGGGAAGGGAAAAGAGAAAACGGGGAAGAAAAATTCTCGGAGCCGAGTCTTGTCCTTGAAATATGGTAAAATAGGGGTAAATTTGCGAAAGTGTCCTTACAATCTTATAAATAGGGGTATTCCAAAGTACGATTTTGTCCTTGTTTTGACGTAAAAAAGGGGGTTAAATTTCACAAAATGTCCTTGAAATTGACCGCAAAAGGGGGTTATATGCATTGGTGGTAACGGTCATACGTGTCACTCTTTGCAGGGGAGTGACCCCACCGGGTTTACTTTCTTTTCGAAAGGTTATATTTATGTGTGATTTCACTATTATTATTTAAAAGGAAAGGTTTGCTGCTAAATTTGAATAAAATTTCAGTGACTTTATTGAGAAAATATGATTTATTTTTTATTTTTTAGGTACAATAACATGTTTCATTCCAAAAGGAGCTAAATCCACGAAAATAAAAAATCAAAAAATTTAGTAAACATCAGAAAAGCCGAAGGGAAGATTTTTTCTTATCATTATTGGCAGATAATCAGGTCCATGCAGGGTGCCACCTTTAACATATATAACAACATGAAGGTATACATGGCTAAAGGGAAAGTGGAGAAATAAAAAAGGCAATTTACTCAGAAGTACCCAAAGTGGATTTGGCTCCTTTTGGAATGAAACTCTTCACATATTATAAAAGGAAGACAAGTAATATAAAAGGAAAAATGAAGGCCCACGTCATTTACATAGAAGGTAGGTGGACAGATAACCTCGATGTTTTTAATCTAATTTCATCTGGGAGATCATTCCACAGCTTTGTTCCTACAAACGAAATACAAAATTGCCCTTGCGTTGTCTCACATATTGGTTGATAGATAGAGCAGGGAGGTGGACCTCCCTGGATAGAGTAAGCCACTTTCTTTACACTGTAGAAGCATAGACCTACCACCAGGTCTATGGTAGAAGTAATCAACTGGGTCATACGACGTACAATACATACACATACACTACTACTAGGTCGAGCGTACTCGCACTACATACACATACAGTATTCGCATATCGCGCTCAAAAACAATAGCGCTACCAGTACCACAGACCATGCAATTATGTGCAGGCCTCGCATACCATAATGTGTATAATATAAATCAGTCAGCGCGCTATAGACATGGTTCGGATATTACTTGCACGCCCATATCCGATCGTCGTCTTGGCGAAAATTCACGGTGTGCTGCCGCTTGACCGAGAGGTGGCGCTATACAATTACACTGAACACGCCTCGAAAGTAAAATTTTTGATAAATAAAATCATTTGCAGTCGAACAGGTTTTTTGCATATAAATTCACTCTAATGTAATATTTCGGATTTATATCTTCAATGATGCATTCTTAGACATTTATTGTATGTTTTTTATGTTTAGATCATAGTTTCGTTCGCTAATGTGAGTATTGACCAACACTCAACTATTCCTTTAACTTTAGCTCACGCCAATTCAGGCGTGTGGGACTGTTTGATTAAAAAACAGCATTTGTAAAAACGATATAACTTCCTGAATACTATCTGGATTAAATGAAATGGCTTACCACTGGCCCAGCTTTGGCAGCTTTTTCTGCATTTTGCTGTGTCTTGTGTATCGGGTCATTCCTTTTCCTCTTTTTCTTGCTTTCAACAATTTTTTGAGCGATCTTTCTTTTCCCCATTTTCACGTGCGTGCTGCTTTTCACAACTGACCTTCTAAACATGGATTGCACCCGCGCTGTATATTTTGTACCGCGATCTACGCATGATAACGTTAACTCAATGGTGCTTGAGGTCAACAGAGAACATCGCCGCCATATTGGAATGCTCGCCCTCTCCTTCTTTCTCCCCGGACCTCCTCAGTTTCCTCCTCCCCGACCCTCCTACTCCTCCTCGACCCTCCTACTCCTCTGAGTTCTTCAAATAACTGTTTTTTATGTTCTTCGATCACGTGATAGACACGTTCATCTATTAAAAATAATAGGGCAATACAGCCTGTCACGAAGATGAACTAAAGGAAGATTATAATGGAATATCAATCTTTTCTGGGATGAGGGCATTATAAATTGCCCCAAGAGACCTGACAGACCAGATCGAGAGATCTAATTCAATTATGTTATCAAACAAAATCTGCAAGGATATCCATTCACTGTCTATCGTTTTGCCTTTAACTTAAAAAAATTAAAAGAAGAACTGATTAATGAAACATTTAAATTGAATCATGTGTATATCAATTATCAATTTTTTTCTCTCTCTAGATTAAGATGCATTTTCCCTAAACCAGACCTATTCTAAGATTGTGTTTCGGAATGATTGGCACTATTTCATAAGGAAAAACATTGGTAATTCGGTTGATAACTTTATTTTTAATATTCAATTACATATATATGCATCAAAGAAAAAAAAACTGTTAGGAACGTGTGAAGAAGGAGGGTGGGAGAGGAGAGAGGAAGAAGAAGGGTTAATTTCTCTTAAAACATACTACACTAGAAAACAAAAATAAGAAGAAGAAGAAGAAGAAGAAGAAGAAGAAGAAGAAGAAGAAGAAGAAGAAGAAGAAGAAGAAGAAGAAGAAGAAGAAAGAAGAAGAAGAAGAAGAGGAGGAAGAAGAGGAAGAAGAAGAAGAAGAAGAAGAAGAAGAAGAAGAAGAAGAAGAAGAAGAAGAAGAAGAAGAAGAAGAAGAAGAAGAAGAAGAAGAAGAAGAAGTATAGAAGAAGAAGAAGAAGTATAGAAGAAGAAGAAGAAGAAGAAGAAGAAGAAGAAGAAGAAGAAGAAGAAGAAGAAGAAGAAGAAGAAGAAGAAGAAGAAGATGGAGGAGGAGAAAAGGAAAATGAAGAAGGGCCAATCTCTCTCTAAACATATTACACTGTATTGAATATCACTTTCTTTAAACTTTCTCACAATCCTAACACTGACTCAAGATGCACCACACAACCACGTTCATCTTCACTATAAAATATATTACAAGTACCTTACCTCTTAAAAGTATAATTCAAACAAACTCTATTTTTTCTTCTTCATCATCCTAATGTCCCACTCAAACTCTCACTAAATTGTTATTTCTAGTTTCATAAGCCTCTATCTCTAGTCTGGTCAAAATGTCTGTTGAATATGTGACTTCCCTCCTTTTCTTTGACTAAACAACTTTTTTTTTAAATCAAACTAACAAACAGAAAACACCTCCACAACTCACTTGTAGCAAATATCAATATTTTTTATTTCTTAACTTTAAATTCTTAAATACAAAAGAAATTTTACAGGCAGCCTACATGTTCTGTGTTAGTATACATCACATAAATATGATGAAATATCATGAGCTATAATGGAACATATTTACACCTTCAAGTGTCTATTTGTTTGAGAAACACATATCAATTTGACAGAAAAATGAGGACTTACCCCTCACTGTTTTCATTGTATGATGGGGGAATATTTTTTCTAAATAAATCATTGCTCATAGCAGCACAGATGAGAGAAAAAACTTCCGCAATGAGCTTTTAAAAAGCCATCTGTTATATGTAATTCAATACATCTTTCAATGTTTGAGGATATACCGATTTTCCATCTCATAACCCTTGAACAATTGTGCAATATGTTATAAAATCTAATTAACTTAATAATACAACTTGGATAACAGAAGCATTAAGGAGGTAAACTGAAAAGTTGTAATACCATATGCAGATTTTGTTGCACTGCAGATACTCATTAAATTTCAAATCAAGTCCACACTAATCAAATCTTTAAAAGAATATTATCACTATTCAAACGAGAAATCTTGTTGACCTTGAAGAGATGGCACCCCACCCCAATCTTTTTAAAAAATCAAACAAAATAAATTGAACATTACAATTGTAGAGTGAGAGGCTAATTGTCTGTACATATTTCATACATCTTTCTAAAAAACTGTAAAAATATCAATTATAGTTGCAGTAGTTACCTAAAGCATTAACATCAATAAATTCTTAAATATCATATATACATGTAATCATATAAGACAGAATGTATATTGAACAGATATACATAATACAATATGCATCCTATGGATGTACAGTGTGAATCAAGAAAAAGGAAACCCATATGCAAGCCCAAATATCTCAAAAACCAAGTAAACTTGCTGAAATATATTTCAGCAAGTAAACTTGCTGAAATATATTTCAATGGGATGATAGACGGAAATTGTCATCTTTAATTTGATATGTTGCTCATCAACATGTGATCACGGATGACTGAGCATTGGACGTTTTCAAAAAGCATGCCCAAATCAGCCTTGCCCATGTTTGGGCTGACAGGTGTTCAGAGGTTGCATTCATCATGTGTGTGACTTCATTCATCTGGGATAGACTATTCAGCCAAACCTTGCGTTGACCACCAATGTCATTCAAAACTTGGCTAGATATAAATTTGTCATGAATCAGGAAATGCTTGATTTTATTGATCAAGGTGTCAAATCAAAGAAAACTGTATCGGCTACGAAGAGAGTATCTTGGACTCAATTTTGATGCACTGATTGCGACGATTCAAAGCGCTGAATCTGGGTTTCCCTTTTTGTGTGACCCACAGTGTAGATAGAAAACGGATCAATTAAGTACTAAATTATGTCACCTTAATTTGTTTCTCCTTCACATGGGCACTGTACAAACATACCGGTAGGACTTAGAGCTTAGAGTCCTATCCCGAGGACTGAGTACATTAAAATAGCATTACATTTTACACAGAAGATATCGAGATATGAACTTTAGGCTGGCATTATAGAGGACTAATAAATAATATTTCCACTATTTCACCAATAAAGAAAGTATAAGATAACTGTTGACCAGGAAACATTCTTAACATTTTAACAGCAGAAGATTTGCAATGCACGAAACCATCAAAAAAATCTAGTATTGTGATTTCATTGTTTTGCAGCATGAAACTTTCATGAATGTGGAGCACTCATAACATTTGTGGAAGTTTCTAGCACCTGAAGATGATCTTAATGAATGAATTTAGGACACCAGTACAGCATACACCAATCAGAAGATCCCACATTGAAAGCAGATAAAGATCAAAATAACAGATGGTTTTTACTCGTAACAGATAATCTTCAGGTTCTGGTTAAAAAATGATATTAGAATTAAATTAGTTGAATATGTCCTTAAGGTAATCCATTACTATCTAACAATGCATTAGAAGTAGATAAAGATAATATTAACAGATGGTTTGTAACAGATGATCTTCAGGTTTTGATACAAAAACAAAATTAGTTGAATATGTCCTTAATAATCCATTGCTATCTAACAATGCATTATCATTGCTGCCTTCCAGTTTTCCTAGACCACAATCACACTGCCTTAGAGCTTCCCTTATGCTGCAGTACACTGCAGAGGCAAGATAAGTGTCAGGCGCTTCACATTTCTATGACTACTCGGTGTGTCATCAGTAATTCTACTATTTTATTTTTCTTTATATGATACATAATGTATATGGTTTTGTTCTTATGATTACTCTGTATTTTTATTGTATATGCACGGCACCATTGTAAAACAGCCAAACAGCTGAACTGGGCTTTTACAAATAAATGAGTCAAATCAAATCAAATCAAATATCTTATAACACATAGATAAGTGAGTATGAGTAGGAACTTTGTTGTACGCATATATCTTCTAACCCAATACTTGCCATTCATTTTAAAGGTAACAAAAATATTTTCTTAAAGGTTGCAATGTCTCTCATTCCAAAGGAATGAGCTATAAATATATGATAGGACCAATAGGAGAGAAAAGACCACGGCCCCATCTTATAAAGAGTCAATATCAATCACAAATTATTTCTGATTGATATCTATCACACTATGTACATGAGAGATAGGAGACTACAAGCTTCAATTGATTTGGATCAATCACAACTCTTTATAAGACAGGGCCCAGATGTTACTGGCATAGATTTGTTGACGTAATCCTTCTCCTGTGGAATGAATAATGCACAACCTTTTCTGATTTATTTTGAATAAAAGAAAGAGTGTCTACATCATTCATGAGTAAAGAATTATGACAACAACACCTTTTCAAATTTTGTTATTCCTAATCACCTCATTAATTCCCATTCACCCTGTTTTCCAGTATTATTATCACTTTGAATTAAAAGAGTAATGAATGGATTTACAAAGCAATTTGAAAGCTTTCACTAATACCTGTCACTTAGAAAAAGCAAACAAATACAAAACAAAACTAAACAAAAAACAATTTGATGTTACGTTTCTGTCCTGAGGACTATAAATTATATCAACAATGTGACGAGAGTCCAGTTGATTCTACAAGACTGCGACGAGAGTCCAGTTGATTCTACAAGACTGTGACAAGAGTCCAGTTGATTCTACAAGACTGTGACGAGAGTCCAGTTGATTCTACAAGACTGTGACGAGAGTCCAGTTGATTCTACAAGACTACGAAGAGAGTCCAGTTGATTCTACAAGACTGTGACGAGAGTCCAGTTGATTCTACAAGACTGTGACGAGAGTCCAGTTGATTCTACAAGACTGTGACGAGAGTCCAGTTGATTCTACAAGACTGTGACAAGAGTCCAGTTGATTCTACAAGACTGTGACGAGAGTCCAGTTGATTCTACAAGACTGTGACGAGAGTCCAGTTGAATCTACAAGACTGTGACGAGAGTCCAGTTGATTCTAAAAGACTGTGACAAGAGTCCAGTTGATTCTACAAGACTTGAATTGCCGAGCTTTGGCTGAAATAGATGAGAGCACCGCCTACATTGACCAACGAGGCGACAATGAAGACAGGGGTCCAGCGACCTGAAGCACCAACCATTGCTGCAGTCAAAGGGCCTGCTGCCATGCCAGGCAAGGTTGCCTAGGAGATAGAAGAGAAAGGAGTATTGTATCATAGGTGAATTGCCATTTTGTCTAAAACTAGTTCGTCTACTACCCAATTAGTCTATTCCCATATGGTCTACACCCAGCCAGTCTACTACCCACATGGTATAATAATCATTTGGTCTAATGGTCTAACAGTACAGTATTATTAAAATGATGGAAATGAGTTCATTATACGATCTATCCACACTCATGCTACAATGCGCATCAATGACATAAAGCCTGACACTCAGCTTCATACGATAGGTGCACATAGCCTCAATGAGAGCAGATAGATCGTATAACAAATAAATTAAGAAATAATGTTAAACATATATTATTTGTTTTATGCAACGAAAATCCTAGATGCCTATTTGATTTTTAAATAGGACTCACTGGAGGATAGGTTGATGTCAATATTGACAGCAATTTGACCCAAGATTAGCAGGCATATATTAGTACACACTTGATACAAGCACACATCGCCCTATGTGTGCACTGTTGCACATTGCTTTATAAATATTTCTCACGTTGGACAGAACTGGAACTATAGCATACTTGATAATGAAAAACATGTGATGACATCAACAAACAAATCACAAGTGACTGCATTCAACCAAGCATCTGGTAAGGATGTCACGGTGGGTTGTCTACCGTAATAACATTTATTCCAAACATGGTGTTACATACATACATGTACATACTCACCAAGGTATTGGAGACAGCGAATGTGATACCTGCATGATTGGGTGCTACGTCGGCATGGTTACTCATGTGCCCTGACGAATTACAGCCACAAAGACCAAGAGATATTGATATGAAACTGCAAAGAACAATAACAACAACAACAATATTGTAGCATTAATACTGATGAGGCTCCTCCTGGTAAACAAGGCATAATATTATTATTATCATTATATCAGTATTATGCCTTTTAACCATTCAATTAATTTTAAAATGAAGTCTGTTGATATGATCATTGACTATCAAAGTATTGGTAGTGTGATACCGCAAGAACCATTTTACAATGTTCAAAGAGGTTTCTCATTTTTTGATGAAATAAATAGATGACAGTCACATGTTGCCTTTCTACACTTTTAATTTTTTTTCTAGAGTCTTTCACCGATTTCCTACTTCTAATCCATGCCATCTAAAGTCCCAAAACAGCTCAGACTGTTTTTTTCTGACGAGTCTTATGGACCTAATCCTGATTCGTACCCCAGGTTTCCTATCTTAAAATCTACACTCTTGACACTGTATTCAGTGAACACCATGTCCAGTCACAACTTCCACAGAAAACGCATCGTTTAACATCTAGTCACATGAGACTATTGGGGCATTGCAAGAAAGTTGCAATCAATTGCAAATCCCCAAAATCAAGCATAAGTCTTGCGATTAATTGGAAATTTGGAATTGATCGCAGCTCAACTTTCTTGCAACGCCCCATTAGTATAAAAGAGAGAAAGAGAGAGAGAGAGAGAGAGAGAGAGAGAGAGAGGAAGAGGGGGGGGGGGTTAATAAAAGGTAGATCTAGTTAACTCAATTAAATTGTTAAAACTTTAATTCTAACAAAATCCTAGGAAATTTAGGAGACTAGTGAGCGTTGCAAGAGAGTTGAGTTGCAATCGAGTGCAAATATCAGTTGCAAATTTTGCAACATGCAATCAATTGCAACTTTCTTGCAGCGCCCCATATCACTTGATCTTGTGGTCTTACCATACAGCTAAGACAAGATGATCTACAGAGCCGAAGAGGAATATGAAGAGAGCTGGTCCAAGGAGACCTATGCTCGTCATCAGTCTTCTCACTGATAATGTTGTCCAATGCTTCTGAGATATCAGATAATCAGCATAATGACCAGCAGCTGCAGAAGAAATAGATTACATACAATGATGATATTTCACTTTAAAGCCCCACTGTACTACTTGTAGCTACTTGCTCCCTCTATAGAAAAAACAATGGATAAGCGGTGCCTGTTGGTCTCCCATTATCCTCTTTTTCTTATGTTAGTTGAGAGCTGAGTTGATGAGATAGCCACATGTCAGTGACCTCACTGGGTGGTCTAATCCCTCCTGGCCAAACTAGTATGGACGGACTTTAACATCAAGTATTATGTGAACACCTTTGTATGCTTCATAATGGTATCATGCTCTCAAATATCTTTAATTCAATCAAATTCTCAAGTTTCTCACCATAGTTAATATGTGGCACATGTATGTTCAACATTTTTTTTCTTATATCAAAGGCATATATAAATTAAATTAAAAACAATTATTATAATATTGAATCTTTTTTGTATTCGTCAACAAAAAAATATATTGCAACATTTCAAGCAAAGTTATTATCACTCTGTCAAGTAAAAGATATGTTTTTTCTTGTTTACCTTGTGAAAATTCATTTTCACTTTCGCATTCATTTGGTCTCATTTGGTCTGTAATTGCCAATAATAGTAATGGCCTGTTTTAGCACAATCTTATCATGAAATTTTATAAGCATCTTCCAAATTCTACATGAAATAAGAATGTTTCATAAAAGAAAATGATGTTTCAGATATTAACAAAATTTGAACCAATGAAATTTGCATGATTTGCCAAGTATACTGATCCATGCTTCACATCAGTAACAAACTTCAATAAACAAAAACATACATAAAAGTGGGAAGTTTATTTACTTACCAACTCCAACTAATGAATTCATGACATAAGGAAAAGCTGTGAAACTGACATCTTGTTTATTAGCTCCTAGATGCCTCTGCAAATAGGTTGGTAACCATGACAACACGATGTAGTTTGACCAGTTCATGGCAAAGTGTGCTATGTAGATGGCCCACAGGGAGCGGTGAGAGATGTAACTCGTCCAATAAACGCTATTTGTTGTGTCAACCTATAAGTGAATACACATTGAACAAGCAAACTTTAGTCATATGTTACATGCCCAATTCACAAACATAGGGTTATAAGAAATACTAGCTAGCCTTGGTTGATCCAAGTTGGAGAGATATTGGCGGTCTGTGATTTACATGATTGCATTGGGTTGGAAGACAGAAGAGAGGGACTATTAAAAAAATGTTGAGGAAATCCATCAGTTGAGAAAAAAACTAGATGGAACTTCGACTGCGCGCAGTCGAAAATGATGCCTCCGTCATAGAGCAATTTTACAAACCAAAACAGAAGAAATTTTGCGAATTCAAGTTCAATTGTAATCCATTAACAGGTTCTCAGAATATTGTGATTACAAGCTATTTTTGCATACATAATGAGCCCATGACCTTTGACCTTATGAACCAAGAATCTACTCAGTTCATTGGCTCTGCAAGAAACATACATGACCTAAGTTGGCAGGAATCCATCAATCGGTTCTTGAGATAACGCGATCACGAGCTGTTTTTGCATACATAATGTGCCCTGTGGCCTTTGACCTTTGACCTTGTGACCCCCACATCTAATCAGTTCATCGGCTCTGCAAGTAACATACATGACCTACGTTTGGCAGCAATCCATCAATCGGTTCTTCAGATAACGCGATCACGAGCTCGTTTTGCATACATAATGAGCCCTGTGACCTTTGACCTTTAACCTCGTAACCCCAAAATCTAATCAGTTCATCGGCTCTACAAGATACATACATGAACAAAGTTTGGCAGGAATCCATCAACCAGTTCTTCAGATAACGCGATCACGAGAACGGGACGTACGTACGTACAGACGTACGTACGGACGGACGTACGGACGGACGGACAACCAGAAAACATAATGCCTCCGGCTACCTCGTAACGGAGGCATAAAAAAATTACAAAGTCACCAACATGACCAACTATCTGACTAAGCTTTGGGGGAACAAAAATTTGGCAACTCTAATGTTATATTCTCACAACTCACCATTCAATCTTTGGTTGATGAGAGGTCTGTGAGGAAAAATTCAGTTTTCCCTGCTGCCCTTTTTAGTGTATTTAACTGTTTATTTACCAGTTCCAATTTTAGTTTGTATTTGTCTAGAGCTTCCCGTTGATCTCCACTCCCAACAACATCACGCATGACATCATCCACTATACTCTTCTTGAACTATTGTCTAACCAAAAGCTTGTCCCCTCCAAACTTTCCAGATTTTTTTTAAAGGTGGCAATTTCCATGGCAAGAGACTTTGGCACGTTGCAAAATGCAGAGTTGTGTCGGTCATGATTCCATTAAGCAGCTGACCCACAAGCAATATTCAAAAATATTTCATGTGTGCAAGCGTTTTTTGTTTGACATTAGACTGACCTTTGGCATGAGAAGCATCTGTGGATCGTCTTCTGGTGTATCCTTAGGGTAGAACATAACCCATATCAGCACCCAGACCAAACCAATAGCTCCAAACACATAGAACATCATAGACCAAGATAGACGAGGACAGATCTGGGAAGCAGATAAACAAGAAAACACGATATAGATTACATTTGCACATTTTTTTGTACTTGTTGAGCATGGCAAGCGATTGTCATAGGAAAAGTCAACCCTAGGTAGAATTCACTTGAAAAGTAATCATGTTCATTAATTTGCATGTTCTTGAAAACTACACATGTATAAAGTGTGTTTCAAAGACAAATTTTCTGAAGATAGGTTCCTGAAGAAATTATCAACTATTGGAGCTATCAACAAAATAGAGTAGAACAATACATTTTGATAAAGATAATAACAGAGTTTCTTGTATAGCTCTCACACTTGTCACCCTCACTCCGATCTAGCACCTCGCCACCTACTTACATTTCTTAGACCTTCTACATATATGGCTAATCAGTCCTAGGATTCATGGCAGGGACAATGGTGCTGATTCCTATTACCCCCAGTAATTTGCCAGGTTCCCATTTACACCTGGGTGGAGAGTGGCAAATGAGAATCAATAACTTGGTAAATAGCCTTAGTGCCAGGTTGAGATTCGACCCATTAACTCTAAGATAGAGAGTCGGTGAATAAACGACTATGCCATGACAGTACCTACAAATATATCAACTAAATATAAACATGTATTTTTTATTCATTTAATTTGTAATGGGGGATGATAGTTCCCCCTTTAAATCATGTGAATTACTTACGACTGCAGCCACTGTTTGTCCGAGGGAGCCCAACCCCACTAGGTAACCAAATGACTTGGATCTCTCGTCTGTGTGGACATTGTGGGCAAAGATATGGAAAATTGTCGGCAAGCAGAAACCTTCTGCAAATCCAAGAATCATTCTGGACATCACTAGAATCTGGAAAGATTTACAAAATACATAATAAAAAAGGGGTTTCAGAATTCAATTAGTCAAATATGCCATTATTTCAGGCGTTCACTAACATGCAGTGTCAAGAATGCTAATTTAAACCTGGGGGATACAAATCAGGACATCATCATCAGATTAGGCTACTCATTACCTCATACAGGTTCAAATTGAATAGAATTATATTGAAATAGGTCAATGCAAGAAGGACTAGAGGCTATATTCACCATTTTAAATTCTTGTTGTATTTTTTGCTGCCCTTGAATCCATCGAATACATGCTCCTGTGTGCCTTGACTAAGCCCATGCTGATATTACTATGTGAGGCTCACATTCAACCTGCTTAAAATACCCCTATAGCTGGCAGCTTGATGATGTGATCTCTGATCCCCAACACAGAAAGGAAGAAAAGAGTGAGGCGAAGAGGGGGAAGAAGAAGAAGAGGAAGAAGAAGGAGAAGAAGAAGAAGAGGAGGAAGAAGGAGAAGATGGAAGGAGAAGAAGAAGAAGAAGAAGAGGAATAAGAAGGAGAAGAGGAAGAAGAAGAAGGAAAGGAGGAAGAAGAAGGAGAAGGGGAAGAAGAAGGAAAAGAAAAAGAAGAAGGAAGGGGAAGAGGAGGAGAGGGAGGAGAAAAGAAAGAACAAAAAACAAGAACAAGACCAAGAAGAAAAACAGGAAGAAGAAGGAGTAGTAGTAGTAGTAGTAGTAGAAGTAGTAGTTACTAAACATCATCTTGAACTCACAGTGAAAGAGCCTCCAATGACTGGAGTCATAAATGTGGACAGAGACCAGACAGCAACAGCTACTCCCAATGTCAGCTTTCCTCCAAACTTCTGGGCAGCCTTTCCTCCTATGATCTGCAAATACAAACATGGGAGGGGAGGGGGCATCAGAAATAAAAATAAAAATACAAGTGCAAACAATTAAATTTGTTGATTGATACTTTACTACAAATAAATGAAAATATGTGGCAGCTTATAAATAAATCACCCATGCCGAAGTCAAGTATCACTGACATATTACAACAGTAAGGTCAATGTAAGAAGATTGGTATTCTGGCCCAGTTACAGAGTGTACATGAAACTTCCTGCATGGAAGTTGCTGCACGGAAGAGCTGCAATTTGTTTAAACTTTAAAGGTTAACAATTATTGTACAATGTGAAGTCATCTCTCTTCACATCGACAGTGCTTATATGGACATTTCAATACCATGTACAGATCCCAACATATTTTGTTTGTTTTTTGTTTAAGTACCGGGTAAAAGAATAGAGGGTGATGCACTTCAAAGTATTACATAACATACCTGACTACTTATGTAACCATAAGCAAATGCACTGAGGATCCATCCTTGGAGTGACATGCTCCACTGATAGACATCAGCCATAGGTACAATGGCAATGGGCATGATCACACGGTCAGCAGCATTGATGAAGTTAGCCAGTGAACACAACGCCACAATCCGGAATGATTTGCTCATCTTCATCATGGCATTTGTGGGGGCTTTTTCCTGTCAAATCTATGAAAGATAGTCTCTTTTTTGTGAATGGAAGGAAAACAAAAATGATGGAACATTAGCGGATTATAATCACCAAGATGTATCAGCTTCACTTATTATACACATATACACTTGTGCACTTTCTCACAGGATTCACAGCAAACTGAAGCACAATACAATTGCATACCCTTGTGTCCAGACTGTCGCGCATGCCCGCACCCCACCCTCGGTACGGTATGCAATTGTATTGTGCTGCAGTTATCTACCGTAATGAGGATCGGAGACATTACGGTAGATAACTTCACACAGGCGCACCCACCCGCCCGCCCGCAACCCACCCGCCCGCAACCCACCATCGGTATGTACTTGTATTGTGCAGCGGTTTGCCGTGAAACCTGTGAAAAAGTGTATACTAATATAGACCGAAAGCTTCAGTCTCTATAATCGTCGGTTGTTCCACTGAGACTACGTCTGGCTCCACTAGACCTCCGGTTATAGAGACTGAACGACTGCCTATGCCAGCCTGTGTTGAACTTATTCCGCTAGATTTTAGCCGCTAGGCCCCTCCCACAAACTTGCCACGGCCGTATTGTTATGCCCCCAAAATCCCCCAAAATGTCATTTTACCTCGTTCATTTCCAATTTTAAATTAGGCCTAGGCTAAAATACATCGGTTCCACTTACTAACTTGATTGATATAATCCGTTTAATGGTCCCTTTTGAGGAAATTATCGGTCAAAATCGACATCCATGTTGAAAATCTTGCAAGCCGTGTTAAACTCTCGCTGCCGTCAATCTCATCCCTTCTAGTCTACGCCGAAGGCAAAATGATTATGAAGGAAAAACTGTGCGCCCATCTACACGTTCGTAATGGCGTTATCACAGTTTTTTCCTTCATAAAAAAAAACTGTGATAACGCCATTACGAACGTGTAGATGGGCGCACAGTTTTTCCTTCATAATCATTTTGCCTTCGGCGTAGACTAGAAGGGATGAGATTGACGGCAGCGAGAGTTTAACACGGCTTGCAAGATTTTCAACATGGATGTCGATTTTGACCGATAATTTCCTCAAAAGGGACCATTAAACGGATTATATCAATCAAGTTAGTAAGTGGAACCGATGTATTTTAGCCTAGGCCTAATTTAAAATTGGAAATGAACGAGGTAAAATGACATTTTGGGGATTTTGGGGGCATAACAATACGGCCGTGGCAAGTTTGTGGGAGGGGCCTAGCGGCTAAAATCTAGCGGAATAAGTTCAACACAGGCTGGCATAGGCAGTCGTTCAGTCTCTATAACCGGAGGTCTAGTGGAGCCAGACGTAGTCTCAGTGGAACAACCGACGATTATAGAGACTGAAGCTTTCGGTCTAATACTAATATCAACGTTTATCAGAAAAATACTCCAAAAATAACAAGAAAATTGACACGAAACAGGTAGTAAACATAACAACTTGTAACTTATGTCTTTATGATCTTTATTTGGACATTTATAAATATAATGAATAATTACTTCATTTTGGGTATGTTTTAGTAGGGTATCTCCACGCCGGAGTTACAGGTGAAATTTTGGATAGGTTTCAGAACAAGCGCCGATGATCCTTATTTTTGCGGACGCATCTGTCCGCGTTTACGAAGATGATCCTCGTTTGTGCAGAACACAAAAGTCCCCAGCATAGACTTACAAGTCAAGATGTTACTCTATGTAATTGCTGGTGCTGGTTTTTAATGACGGTGAATGGTTCATCGACATTGCCAATGCAGTGGCGAACATGCGAATGGCCTATGCCTTGGCAATGCCGCTTACATGTAGGCCCTGGCCATAGCCCTGGAGCTGGCCTAGCCCTATGCCTAGGCGAGTGGCTGGCGCGCTGGCGCCTGTGGATGGGCATGGGGGTGTGACGTGTGTGTGGCTGGGTGCGTTTTAGCTTAAACTTAAGTATATATCTCTATGGTTTGCACACTCAATGACCAGTGGCTATTATGCTGGTATCAAAAAGACATTTCAGAAGCTAATTTTAAATATAACATCGGAGAGATTTGCATATTTACCAGTTTGGCTTTGAGCTTGACTTTCTCGGGTTGAGCGAAATGGAAATTGTAGTGTCGTCAAAACGTCCAATCGAAAAGGAAAAACAAAATTGAAAATCCATGCAAATCTCATAGTTGACAGCTTTGAATGCTTTTAAAACTATCGAATGACCTTTAATACTGGCCTATACCGGACGAAAGCTAGATAATTCATTTCCCCTTTTTTACAGGTTCTTATGCAAGCTCACCTTTACATTAATTTAGGTAAATATAGTTTTTTCTTCTTAAATTTCTCTTGGGCACACTTTCTTTATCTTTACATTGTAATACCTAGAAATGCAACATAACAGTCGCTCTATCAATATGGAATGTGGTATATCACATAATAATGATACATTATCACCCGATCATTGTATTATACCAATTAGGAATTAGGATTTCATTGATTATATAGACACACTTAATTATGCACAAGCATCAGTCGGTATTCTCTCACTAACTTTCTGGACTTTTTTTCCCCCTTTTCTCTCAATAACACAGCTCGAAATCTCTTGATTTAGTTAGTTACTCACACCAGCAAAAAAATCCTATACAATAAACAACAACAATTAAACGTACTAGTATTATAACACATTTCTCGTTATCATTTAATGCAGTATCAGTTGTACATTTCATGACAAATATAGACTCAATGCTGTACATAAAAGCACACCATTATAGTGCCTTAAGTTATAGCTTAAGGCAGATAAATAATATATGTGTCAAGTCAGGATAGATAATATATGGTATCTTTGTCAAGTGAGGGAAGATAATATTATCTTTGTCAACCTAGATAGAAACCACTGATACAAACCGAGTCGTTTTGAAGCCCGTCTGCACTAGTGTGTCCAGGGGGATCAGACCTCCCTGCAGGGTCACTGACAGGTGGTTATCTCATCAAATCAGCTCTCAATTAACTTAAGAAAAGGGGATCATGGGGGACCAATAGGCACCGATAAGCATTGTTTGCTATATAGAGGGCACTGGGCACAAGTAGCATCAGTAGTGCAGTGGGCCTTTAATGGGTTGTCAGGTCTCGTCAATATATTTTGCTTGCCGCGTCGCACTTTTTAAAACATAATAGAAAAATTATCTATCTATCAAGGCAGGCCCGTAACTAGGAATTTAGTGGGGGGGGGGGGGGGGGGTGCAGACAATATATGAGGTGGAAATTGCGCCCGAGCGGGGGGGGGGGTCTGGGAGGGAGGTGTCCTCCAGGAGCAATGGATCGTCTTTCAAAGGGGAGGGCACCAACAAAAAAGGGCACTTTCTGGATAAGAAAAAAAAGGAAACCTCAATGCGAAAATATACCATTTTTGTTTACATTGGTAACATAATCATATCAACTATAAATGCGAGGTAGAAAATAGACAATTAGTTCAAATATGCGAATAGCTGCAAGCCAATCGTCTGTCTCTCAACTCTAAAGAGTTTATCATTTAGCAAAACAGAAGAAAAAAATCCTGTTATAAATGAAATATAGATAAATGTGAACAACATAAATGTTGCAAGAGTTGAAAAGACCATTGTTTAGACATTTGTATCGATAGCCGATTTTGTTGGAAGCCACACATCATTCAAATGGAAAATAAAATGCCCCAAAATAGACTCCATTATTTGTTTCCTCAAAATGTGTTTCGAAGTTTGTATTACTCCCTAGTTCTCTCCTATTTTTCAAACTGTGCTCAGGCTTGTTTGGCGCAATACATATTCATCCCATATAAATCAACTTTTACTCAACACAAGAAGATAATAAAAAATCGTCTGCAATTCGCCACCTAGAACTCGCACTACCTATTTATCTCAAGAATTGAGACTCTTAAATTTTGCAGATATTGGCCCGAATTCACAAAGCAAGGTTTGAGCTCAAACCTCCTTTTGTTCCGCCAAACCTCCTTTTGTTAACAAAAACCTTGCTTTTTGAATTCGGGCCATTGTGTGTAAGTTTGTATTTGATCGTCTCCCCGAACAATTTTGTAATGTGTTTGATTTTAATCAAGTTTAAAATCAAACACATTGCAGACGATTTTTTACATACATTATGGAATATTCCATAATGAATGTAAGAAACATTTATATTCCCATACATAGAGCAGTCATAATATTCGTTTTCCTGGTCCAAAACTCTGGAACAAATTTAAATTATTCTATTGAAATATGCCCTTCACTCTCTACATTCTCTCATACTATAAAGAAAATAATTTGTGTACGATACGATTCGTAGCACATAATACTGTTACATTTGGTGTATATATGTTTATATATGTGTATGCGGGTATGTACTATTTATACATGTATATACCAATATATTATGTGTGCTATAATATGTGTGCTACATATTCAACCTTTTCCAGTTACTCTTAACAGTTTCTTTGACAAGGCAATGATATGGACAGAGTCGATTAACTTTGGTAACTTCGATCAACTTTGGAAATTGAAAGACTCATAATTCTGTATAATGTTGAGAAATATGAAAATTAAAACCTAATAGATTTGTCAGTTTAATTATGAAAACAAAGAATGCTTGTATTTCATTTAAGAAATATTTTTGTCGTACGGATATATATGTAATGTAAATTAAGAAAAATCATAGTAAGGGCTAACACAGATATATAGAAAAATGATTAAATTATATTGGCTAGCCCAACCATCTCCATGTCCTTAATGCTCAGTTGAAGTGCTCAGCTGAGCATAGACGGTAATAGCCACAATCAGGGTGCAAAACCATTTGCACTTGGGTCCAAAATTGAAGTATGCAATAGAGCAGTTTCATCAACCCCAAATTGTTCATCCTTACCCTAGGGTTAATACCCTGCAATAAGTTTCATATTAGGTATATTTGTTCAGTTACATACATTGTGAGAATGACAAATAACTAATTATGTTTCGAAAATAATATCGCTAGTGAAATTCGTTTGTCTCGCAATGTGGTCAATAAGGAATCTAAAACATCACGTCTTTTTTCTAAAAGATCCTTATTGACCACATTGCGAGACAAACGAATATCACTAGCGATATTATTTTCGATACTACATCCGCAATGAGTAATATATTTAGCAACTAATTATGTTGTTATTCAGTGAGTGTTCGTTTATCAAATAATAATCAGCTTTGTTATAAATGTGTTAGGTTTAAATAAGGTAAGACTGCTTCTATGTTGTGAACGAAAACAAATTGGACTTTCGATGAATAAAATCAATGAATGCAAACAAACAAACAAAATGATTTCCTAGACGTACGCCTTGGAAAGACAAATTCTTCGGTATATCCATTTCATTCAAAATCGAATTGTAAGTCGGTGTCAGCCATTTTCTCCTTATAGACGCGATTGAACTCTTCGTTCTCGCTCACTGTAAATCGTTTCTTCCAGCTCGCGATTACACCTGCATGGGGGAAATGAGGGAAGAAATGAGGCTTTATTCAGACAAGCTAAAAACCCGCAACAACACAAAAACATTAGCTGAGCAGTATCGTATTTCAATGAACACAGTTTAAATTAAACAAATTTTATCGGGACAGACAACTGACAATTCAGTTATTAAATCAAGTAAAATTGCAAGCATCTGATGAAGTACTCTTGTGACGTTTTAAACGCCTACAATCGTATCTCCAAGAAAAAGGAGTAAAAGCAAAGTACGAAAAAATTAAGATGAACGATCAAAATAATCATTTGAGATGCAAAAGCTTATGATTGTGTGGACGAAACATGATCGTCAAGCAGTGAAATATAGTGGTATTCAATTGGTTTATAATAAAAATGTATGGAGAGTGAAAGGCTAATAGACTAACGGAGATATTAAAATAATATTAGATTGAAAGTTGGTTTCAATTCTAATTATTTTTGTTTATGGGTTACTGTGGAAAAAAAAAACAAGCTTCCAAACCCGTTTTTTCCTCCATGGGTTATCATAATTTATTATCATCCCCTGTGTTTCTACCCCTTTCTCTCTATATATCTCTCTCTATCTATCTCAATCTCTCTCTCTCTCTCTCTCTCTCTCTCTCTCTCTCTCTCTCTTCTCTCTCTCTCTGCTCGATACCACCCTTCAAATCAACCTCCTTATATACCTTTGTTCATGTAGGAATGAGTGCCGACAGCTTTGACGAGTTCTGCCTTGCCCTCTGCTTCTACTTTATCATAAGTCTTCTTCATTCCTTTGAATGAACTATACTCAACGATCTTCTCTAATGTTTCATCCGATAGAGGGCGCTCGAGGAATCTGGAAATAGTTAATATGGCATTCCGTGGGTCCTTTAAAACGAAAAGTGTAGAAGATGTTGGTGTTAAAAGTTGCGAGATACAAATTGTTCTAAGCTGCTCTGAACTTTCCTCCTTGATTTTGGAAATGAGGAATCATAGTCATGAAGGTTCAGTCCCACCTGCAAATAACGTTCAACCACTAGCGAACAACTATGACTGTCCACGGTGAGCTAGGGGCGACAGGGATGAACTTTAGCTTGATTCACTTCAGATCCGGGCTTCAGATAAGTTCACTATAATTTGAGGCGGAACTTTAAAATATCTCACCCATTCATATTTCGATACAGAAAGAGAAGTAATGAGAACAATCATGTTCAACAAAGTTCGCTTTTCTTTCAGCGATTATTGCGGTATCATAGGCCCCTCATAGGCCTGCATCTTAAAAATAGACTATACGTCATTGTAAGAATAAAACCATCATACCTTTTTCATGTCTTCATATTTGATGAAGAGTCTGTTTTCTTGATGACGTAGATTCCAAGATGTCTTCACGTGTTCAAACCATGACCCATAATTCCTCGCTGCAACAGTAGTAGAGATAACAAAGTAAATAAATCAACACAAAGCACAAAAGCAACTACTTTTTTTTTAAACATCGATCGAAGACAATTTCAATATCCTTGTGCGCCACCAATTGAAGCGCGCGAACATGACAATAACGTATTACGTAATCCGAATATGATTTCTATTGGATGTACAATAGGGTATTAAAATTGTCCTTGAGTTGATTTTTCGAAAATAGTTGCGATCGTGTTACAAAATAAAAATAATGACATTGCATGCTCACAATATTTGAGATCCGTTGACATAATTATACATGTATACTTCCATTTCACTAAAGAGTAAATTGCTCTCAGCTATAGAGGCGGCGAGGTCTTGAGTCTTGTCATGACCGGGCAGATGTTATCTATGTACAAAGAGTTTTAGACAATCGAGGTCCATTGACCGAGATAATAATATACAAATATTAACTGCTCATGAGGATGATGGTGGGAATTATCAATACCAAGGTGGTATTCATACCAGCCCTTTTCGGGGGGGGGGGGGTGATAGAAGGGCCGGTATGAACACCATCTTAGGAGTGATAATTCCCACCATCATCCTCATAAGCAGTCAATGTAACGCGCTTAGAAACATAGTATTACGTGCTAGGTGACTATATTATTATCGTCATAATTTTCAAGAAGGCTTACTCCCGTCCATGAATTCCTTGAGGGCACCCTGCCATCTAATGAAATCACCCATCTCATTATTTCCTACGAAGCGATCGAGAGATGTAATCACATCTTTAGGGTTCCGAGCAACATAGATCACCTGTAGGAAACACAAAAAAGGATCATCAAGAATTATCCTGGTCCAGTATTACTGATCGTCCTTTAAACTATTTCAGAATGAGCGGACATAACATATGGAAATAGCAAAACAGAAACAAAAATGAGAAAGAAAAAAGAGAGGCCTAGTATAACGATCTCTTATAAAGAAGACAATTTCTTTCTTCATTGGTATACGCACAGGGGAGTTATAATAGTATGTGAAGTCTCACATAGTGGTAGTACAAAATAAATGTATTCGTATCTGTTGATTATGCAAGTGCATCGTTCTTGATTTTAAACTGCAGCAACAACAACACCAACAACAATAACGATAACAACAGTTTGAACGAGTTCACTATCACTTTTTTACAGGTGCTTCGACTCTGTAACAGTATTTTTTTTCCCTAATTGCCAATTCGAAAAGAGTTCAACGATATGATTATATTTATCAGTGGTAGATTTGGAGGGGCACAACTTTAAAGAAAATTGTGACCCTTCCATTTTTTTTTTTACGCTTAAAGCACCTGAAATTTAGTTTGTTTATTCATTTTTGCTTGTACGTTTTTCGAAATTGTGCCCCATTCTATATAAAAAAAATCTTTTTCCACCACATTATGTTCATGGTCATTGAATAAGTGATTCTGGGCCTACTTTAGTTTAATGGTTATCAATATGAAAGGTTTATGCAATGATGCTTAATACTTACTTTAGCTTTCTTGTTATCAATGCCTGGTGGAAGATATTTAACAGGTAGATGTGTCTGTAATATACGAGGTGACGGAGCTCTTTCTATGATCTTATAGAAGGGTAGATGTCGTGTCTTTCCCTCATCGTAAGAATCTTTCTCGCCGTAGATCATCTCGATGTTGCCTTGCGTGGTCGTACGGTCGATTGTCTCAGGATTACCATTGTTCAATATAAGATGAACGATCTCTGATGCCCAATGAGTTCCTGTGTGTATATATATCCACATAGAAAACATGAGACTTATATACCACGTAGCGTGCTCAGGCTAATGCAAGAAATAGACTTAATTCTGCTTGGAAACATGCACACACACAAAAAACAATAATAATGATTACAATAATAATGATAAAGATGATGATGATGACGATGATGATGATGATGATGATGATGATGATAATGATGATGATAATAATAATAGTAATTTATAATAGGGTAGAAAGGAAAAAGAAAACGAAGAAGAATAAGAAGAAGAACAAGAACAAGAAGAACAAGAACAAGAAGAACAAGAAGAACAAGAACAAGAAGAACAAGAAGAACAAGAAAACGAAGAAGAACAAGAAGAACAAGAAGAAGAACAAGGAGAAGAAGAAGGAGAACAAAAAGAAGAGAATATTGATGATGAAAATTAATAAAATTTGATGCTTGGTCGAGTCAGACATGCCATGGCGAGTCGATCATTGTCGTTCATAATTATATACTTTTGGTTTTTTGTCATCGCACAATTTTATTTATGTCTGTACACATTTTTAGAAATCATTTAATTTTACTCACCTGACTTTGAGTAGGTATTAATCCAGATATCATCCTCCCTGACATCGAATGTCTTCAAAGCCTCGAGGCTAGAGGGGATGACCAGGGCGTTGAACTTTACTCCATCGTAGAAAACACTGCCATGTACTGAATGATCTACCCAATCATCACCACTAAAAGATGATAGATCCGTGGCCATACTTTCTCAGATCTCTCGATCCTTACTATTAATTTCAAATAAGAGTTCGTTTTTTTCCTTCCTTAATTCTTATTTGTTTCTAATGTGTGTCTTTTCTTACAATACAGACACATGTATTTTTCTTAATTGCATTCCGTTGTTGCGAAACAGCCTGAAAAAAAGCAGATAAGCACATTATTATAAATAAGAGTATTGTGCAAATTTGATCGTGCACATCCTCATTTGGGTGTTATTTATTAATTTGAAAATTTTGTCGACCGATATTTCGCTCAGTGGGGGGGGGGGGGGGGGGGGGTGAGCACTACAAAAAACTTTTTTGCCTCCGGAAATTTTAAAATCGCGCAGATTCAATTCAATTCAGAACTTTATTTTAGACTCAGCTGCAGAGGTCTATAGATATATAGGGAAAAGAGCTGAGTACGAACATGATGAGTATAATAACAACAAATCTTACAAAGAGTATAACAAACTAAATTATATAACCCATAGTATATAATCTACACTGTATCAGTATTATAACCTGTATCTGTAAGATTGATAAAAGTACTGATAGCAATCTAACTTATTTTAGAACCGATGTTTTCCTTCTACAATCACCCACAGCCAGCTGCCAGTACCATGTCGGCAAGCACATTCACTGAATCATTATGAATATCCGTAAAAGATATTCCTGTAAACAAAGGAAGAATATAAAGACAAAGTGATATTACCTTGGTAAGTCTTGTAGTGATCCGATGAACCTATACTGATTTCAAACATGCACTGTATGTACTTGTACAAATTATGCTCGGTAGTATACCGTTATACGTACTACAGCTGCAAGTCCCGACTTTGCACTCTGAACCTCAAATACTAGTCGTCGGATATCGAGCTATGCACTGAGTTTGACCTCAAAAATTTTCACTTAAAAGTTACTAAGGGCACACGAATAAATACACCGGTTCGAATGGTGTACCACGGAATAGAAAACCAAGGGGCGTTATCATGGTTATATACTATGCAGCGCAGTCAGACAAACTCTACAAGTTCCAGTGGACCTAAATTCTCAGTTCCGACTTTCGAATCTCACTTCCTGATTACATTTTGTTTCGGTAGCAGTCAATCTACAGTAAATCTTTGTGACCACATTGAGCACATTCTGAGGAGAACTGAAAGAAATTTAGTTTGAGATCATCAGCTAGTGTAACGCTGGGACCCTATAGCATGAAGTCTAGGCAACCTCAAACCTTGAAGAATAGATGTATACATGTATGCTGAAAGATGAGATTTATTCACCTTCCTATGTATACACATTCCTTACGAAAATGTACGAGAGGTAATTATATCAATTCAAGATGTTCTTGGCATGATTTAATGCCTTTTAATGTTACGTACCCGGCGAACGTTTACATGTATCATGTACCAAGCTGTAGTGGGAAAGACTTTTTAGTTCAATAACAAAACCTTCACTTTTCAATGTGGAAAAATCATAGCTTAGAAGGGAAAAATTATATTTGGTGAAAAACAGGAAAAGATTTATTTTTTAAATACTAGAATAAAGCAGTTGACAAATCAATTTATACGAAACCTTCACCTCAGCAACTTCTTTATGCGAATTGCATTCTAACAACCACGGTTCAAAAGATAATAACAGGTGAATGGAATATGCCAACTCCCTCACGTTGGAGGGTAGTATCCTTAAATTTGAATACATTTACTTGAAACACTTCGCATGGTACGTCACGTTAGAAAATGTCGATGCCCATGTCGTACTGAGAAACTGTATATTACGTTAAGAATATCTTGCTCAACCTCTCTCATGCACTTTGGTGTGAAATCTTGTAGATTAATGGGCTAAAATAGTATACAATAAACCTCCTAGAATGAATAAAGTTATTTCTTGGGGTGAGGTCTTCTTTCATTCAGTGAATCTATGATGCATCCACACGCAAATGCCTATTTTGCCAGCACATTCCCCCCCCCCCCCCCTCCAAAAGTGAGAGATTTTTACCAGCCCCTCGAAAACTAACAAAAATGGCGGTCCAAAAAACAAAATAATAATAATAATAATAGTAATTTGAGCGAATTGTAAAAAAAAATTAAAAAGTCCCTCCATGGACTTTTGTGAAAGTAGATGGCTTCATCTTTAACTACCTCCCTCCTCTCTATCTCCATCTCTCCCTCTTTTTTTGTTTTGATTAAGCGTCCCCCCCCCCCATCTCTCTCTCTCTCTTTCTCTCTCTCTCTCTCTCCATCTTTATCTCTCTCTCTCTCTATCTCTCTCTCTCTCTCTCTCTCTCCATCTTTCTTTCTCTCTCTCTCTCTCTACCTCTTTCTCTCTCCCATAATATCAAGCAACGTACCTCTTTTCTGTGTTTTTTCTTTCTTATTCACATAAAAAAGCTAATACATGTATAAAGATAATCTATACAACAAAGAAAGCAAAGAAACTAAACGAAATTTGCATAAAATATACAGGGCGTATCATAATAAAGGATATTGAAGTTTAATGACGATTTATATGAAAACTACTGATTTCATAATCAAGCATTTTGTGTCTGTTGTAAAGGACAGAATGTCCTCTTGTTAATGACACCCCGATCATACTACTACTGTCACAGTTGACTGAAAAACAAAGCATTGCTGTCCACCATGTGAAAGGTGCACTGTGCCAAGTTTGATAACATTTCCTTCTTAGACACATAATCCACTCATTGTTCAGCATTTCAATATGTCTGGACTGACACAAGCACTAATCTTTAGAATTTATCTGTGAATGCTAACTTGTCACAGTGCACCTTTCACATGGTGGACAGCAATGCTTTGTTATTCAGTCAACTGTGACAGTAGTAGTATGATCGGGGTGTCATTAACAAGAGGACATCCTGTCCTTTACAACAGACATAAAATGCTTGATTATGAAATCAGTAGTTTTCATATCAATCGTCATTAAACTTCAATATCCTTTATTATGATACGCCCTGTATATATGTATAGACCAGCTTTTCGGCGTGAAATCACTAGTATCCTAGCTATTAACGGCACGAGTTAAAGAGGACCAAATCACAAAAAAGGTTCCTGATAACAATAGACATTGTAGATGGAAAAATCGTAGCAGTAGAGAAAGACGTCATTTTGAGGGGGCATTTAAACCCAATGGAAATTTGTATACAAATGCATTAGCATCAATACCTATAGTCACGTTGTCAAAATGTGTAGTCTTCCGAGCACTTTAGTAAGCAATTAAAGCACCGTTGAACGAAACATCAAGTGTATCTATGCAGTAATTTATTCAAGAATATAATTACATGAAATGGCAAGCTTTATTTAGATTACTTGGAGAAAACCAGAAATGTTACTCAGTTTCCCGAGTGACATAAAAATTTGAAGAGTCCAGAATTTAGAATTGGACCGTGTATAACAGGCCGCCCATGAAGAAAACGCGAATTAGATTAGATAGTACACTGAGAAAATTACATAGCAAATGTAATTCGTCCATACGCATTCAATAAGTTTAGAAACAAAGTAATTTGTTTTTATTCATTAATAACTGGAACATGCATTATTAATTGAGATTAGCATTTGGGGAAAAAGGTAATAAGGTCAGTGGATGGCAAACACTATATTACATTAGACATAAGAATTTAAAAGGTAAACTCGAAGTTTGCGTTTAAGGAATTTAACGTTGGTGCTTCATTAACCTCCGAATCCAAATCATTCCAAAATGAGGGTCCGGTTCAAATGATTGTTTTTAGGGCAAACACTTTCCGGATTGGGGAGAAATTAAAATGTTCCCCTTGTCTTGTAGGATAGGAGTGAATAACGCTGTTTATAGCGAACATGGGAGGGAATATATTGGGCAAATTATCTTTACTTAGCTGATACATGAACATTCCGAGGAAATGGTATATTATAAATCAGATATTAGTTCAAAATACGATTTGCAAGAAATAAAACGTTAATGAGTGTCTAAAAATCAGCCAGATTTATTAATCTTAGTGCTCTCTTTTGGATCATGTAAATCGAATCGATTTTAGTTTTGAACAATTCCTCCACGCTAACACCCCGTAATTTAAATATTGTAGAAACAGAGTTGAATATAATATTCTAAAGACATGAGATGGAAAATAAGATTTCATATTATGGTAATGGGATATCGTGGTGGTTGACCATATAATGTTAGTGGAATAGAGCCTGTCATTATTATATTGGCCTTGTGGAAGGTGATCAAAAATACAGAAATATCATGTTTTAGGCCATTGGGGATGAATCGTTTAATGTGGGGGTGTTGTGTGTGTGTGTGGGGTGTGTGTGCGTGTGTGTGTGTGTGCGTTTCATACTTCCATCCATGAATTCCTTGAGAGCGCTCTGCCATCTAATGAAATCACCCATCTCAGTATTTCCTACGAATCGATCGAGAGATGTAATCACATCTTTAGGGTTCCGTGCAACATAGAGCACCTGGATATAACATTGTAAACAAATATTTATTACAAAGGGGAGCTATCAGTCACAAGAAGAATATTTTAAAGACATCAAATCATTGTCTTGAAAAATTTTAAAAATCACAGGGGAGTTCCCTTTGAAGTGGAAATTCAAAGAAAATCACAAATAATTATGTCAACTAATGTATCACTAGAAACTGGTAAGCTAACAGATGGTCATCGTACAAGTTTTAGGTCAACTACATACACTATGAATATGACGGACAAAGAAAGAGGACAACATATACAGTTCCTCATTCTACCTCAACAATTGTTGTGGTAGACAAAGGAACATCCCTTCACTGATATTATGTAAAAATGTGTAAAACAGGTGTCACGTGCATAATTATTCACCTGCTCTACAATAATTGTAGAGCAGGTGAATAATTATGCACGTGACACCTGTTTTACACATTTTTACATAATATCAGTGAAGGGATGTTCCTTTGTCTACCACAACAATTGTTGAGGTAGAATGAGGAACTGTATATGTTGTCCTCTTTCTTTGTCCGTCATATTCATAGTGTATGTAGTTGACCTAAAACTTGTACGATGACCATCTGTTATTATTATTTTACATGATAGCAGTGAAGGTATTTTCATTTGTCTACCACAGCAATTGTTGAGGGTAGAATGAGGAACTGTATAATTATGTTGTCCTCTTTCTTTGTCCGTCATGTTCATAGTGTTATCGGGTGATTTATAAAAATAAAAAAAAATACAACCACCTCCATAGCATCTGGGATAAACGAGAGATTCGCCAGAAAAATAACGATGTTTTAATGAAGTCACATTTAATGGACCAATACTGCCCAAGCAGACGACATCCCACAAAGAATGAACATAATTGCAAAGCTATTATTTCTCAAATTATAATGAGTTTAGTGACATAAATATGATGGCATTTTAAACCGTTCAAAAGGGGATATGAAACCGATTCTGATAACTAAAATCTTTTGTTTGTAAATACACAGGATATGGGTTAGTTAACACTCAAGGAAACCAGACTTTCAAAAAAAAAACCAGAATGATATTAAGGACGGCATTTGTTCCCTCTTGACACGCCGAACATACCGCGGTGTGTGCAGCTGAATATACAATGGCGTCTGATTTTGTTTACAAGCGACAGATTCCTTTATTTTTGTATCGCTGCATTTGTCATCAAATAAAAACATGCGCTGGGTTTAGAGTGAGGCAATAGATTATACATTTAGCTGACGGTAGTGAAGTAAGAGAAAGAACTCAAGAGAAGATGAAAATACAGGCATTGAAAATGTGTAAGATGTCATGGGACATCGTCTGCTTGTGCAAATCATGTCCACCCTGTGATCTCACACATCTCAGCAGCGTTCGGACAGCTCTACAGGTGCTATGCCAGGGCTGTATTTAAGCGTTTTGTAATTTATAATAATCATTACTTCGAATGTTTCCAAGCATTGAATTTTGATAACCTTGTCGAATCAAAGTTTCAACTTTGCAATAACAAAAATAAAGTTAGTTTTTAAAATCAATGAATATCTACTTTAAAATATCCAAATCAGGCTTATTGAATTAAGGTTTAGTCCCAATTATAACATCTAACCATGGACCTACTTCGTATAGTATAGGTCCGTGATCTTACTATTTCGGCCCAGTATAAGACAATGAAGAATGTTTTTATACGAATGCCTATTCTTATATGGTAAAGC